CTCTCCTGAACTTCCTAGGAAGAGAAATATAATTTTCTGCTCTTCTCCATCTTTTCAGATTAGGAAAGCAAAGCCTCTCTCCTCCAGGGCAGTTTCCAAAGGAGGTGTTTGACCACTGCAGACAAGGAGGCTCCTGTGTGCCCATCCCTGGAAGCGTTCAAGGCCAGGTTGGGGCATTGTGGTCTTGTGGAAGGTGTCCTTGCCCACGGCAGGGGGTGGAATGGAATGAGATTTTTGGCCTTTCCAACCCAACAGGAAGCAGTGATTCCATGATTCCATCCCCCAGCCCCTCCTGGCAGCACCATTCCACAGCTTTGAGAGCCAGGGAAGGGTGGCTGGAGCACAGCTCAGAGGAATCAGCCCAGCTCACAGAAATAGCAGCGTCAGAAGGAGTGTTTGGTGTACCCGACCTTCTGCTTTGTACAGCTCCAGTGCTGCTTTTCCAAACTAAAAATACCTCTTACCTTGACTGCTCCAAGGAAGAACACTCGCTCGGCAGGTTGTTTAGGATTCAGGGGAAGAAAGTTCAGGCAAAGCTCAATTAGGCTGCCTTAATTTACAAGCCAAGTTCTGTGTCTGCATGATTTGCTTCGCTTGTCTGTGCACATTTTAAAGCACAGAGCAATGCTGTGGGAGGGCGTTTTTCACTGCACGTACTCAGGGTAGAAATTCTGCTGTTATTCACATGTTTACAGCCCTCCTCATAATGAAACTGCCGCGTTTTCTGCCATATTAAAAAAAAAAAAAAAAAGAAGAAGCAACTAGTGATGTGCTGAAATGAGCAGAGTATGTGGGAGGATAAAGAGGTACGTGGCAGATCGTGGATCTCCTCGTGAGCTCTGCCTTCTCCTGCTCATTCCTGCTGTCCAGCTGGGCAGTGCTGGTTAATTCTGGGAGCTCTTCTCGGAAGGGATCCACGTGTGGATGCAAGCTGAGAGGTTGCTACATTTCTCTGTGATGTATGTGAATTTTTTTCATGCTCAGAAGTCATGGCTATACTCGACTTTATTTGGAAGCAATCCCTGTATTTCCTGTGGCCTGGAATCACGGAAACGTTAAAGTTGGAAAAGACATCCGAGACCATGGAGTCCAACATAAGGGAAGCTTCCTGTCAAAAAAATCTCCAAGCAACATCCTCCTTGTCCACACATTGCCTATGCTGCTAGCAAAATAACTGAAAACCCCACAAACCAGATCCATAGAGTCCAAAATTAGGAAAACCGTGGTTTTGGAATGGAGCAAGGACCTGGCTGGATACTTTTCCCCCTGCTGTGAACTTGCTGCATTTCCTATTCCTGCTTATTAAGCAGGCAGCTGACAGCTGCTGGCAAAGCTTGGGAATAGCAGAGGAGCGTGGCGTGTCCGAAGGCTCTCCGGGCCTCTTTTGGGCAGCAGCTCAGGAGCAGCTCCTTAGGTGGGATGTCCATGGGCCATGGAGCTCCGCGTGTCCCAGCCAGAAATAGCACTGGGAATCTGCTCCTCTGGCCACTGGGAATGCCGGTTTGCTCGGTGGGAAAGCAGAACACACGTGTCTGTCGTGCAGGAAGAGCCAGCCCAGCTTCTGGTGGCAGCTCCTGGAGGATTTTGGGGTGTTTTTTAACCACTCCCTCACTGTCTGAGTGCAGAACTTGCCACCCATCCTCGCCTCGGCTGGCTGCAGATTCCTGCAAGGCTGTGCCTGTCCCCTGGGGAAAACTCATCCATTTCAATGTGCCAGTTAATGAGTTGCCTTTCAAATTCCACCTAAACACAGGTGACTTCTGTCCTGTCCTGGTCCTTCACATGAGCAACAAGACTTGTGTGGTTGCAGCCTAGGATCTTCCCCTGGTGTAAAGGCTTCCTTTTAGTTTAAATATTTTAAACACCCTTCTTTTAATGTTAGGAGTGATAATATTGTCTTGAGGCTGGAAGTGCCTGAAAAGTGTGAATTATACTCATGCACAACGTTGTCTTTTGGACTTTTGACCCATGTGGCTGATTGTGGGGCTGATTAATGCAAACAGCAGCGTGCAAGCACGGCGTGTGACACTCCAGAGCAGAGCTGGAGCTTCCTGCAGGCTGCAATTCCCGCTTCCTGCTGCACAGAATGCACGACTCCGCTGGTTGTGTTCGCGTGGTGATCCATCTCCCTCTGTGCATTAAACACTTCCAGTCTATTTTCATCACAGAATGGAATGGTTTGGGTTGGAAAGGACCATACAGACCGTCTGGTTCAGGGACACCTTCCACTGTCCCAGGCTGCTCCAACCTGGCCTTGGACATTCCAGGGATCCAGGGGCAGCCCCAGCTGCTCTGGGCACCCTGTGCCAGGGCCTGCCCACGCTCACAGCCAGGAATTCCCACCCAGTATCCCACCTGGCAGTGGGAAGCCATTCTCTGTGTCCCGTGTGTTTAACCCAAAGTGCCGCCCCAAACCTTGTACTGCTGGAAAATTGTGGAATTCTGAGCGAACAGCGCAGGGGAGGCGGACGTGCGGAGCCCCTTGGGAAGCAGCGAAAGGCAGACACTCTGCCTTCCCTCGGAGCTGCAAATCCCAGCCCTCGGAGCCCATTTCCGTGGGTAAATCCCCTCCCATAAAGCTGCCGGTGCCATCTGGCAAAAGCGGGATCCGAGTGGGAACAGTTAGTGTTTTGTCCATTGTGGGAATCCAGAGCTTCCCTCTGGCTGCCCTGGGACCCTGCAGGGGTCAGGAACCCCCCTGGACAGAGCCCCCAGAGACACTGGCTGTGATCTCTGTCCATGGAAAAGAGTTTTCAATCTTACAGGATGGATTACCAGCTCTGAGTGTTTGATATAAGCAATAATTAAGTGTGGCATGGGTACAAAAGTAAAATTTTAGGATTCTAGATTAGGGGTCCAAAGGGGTACAAGATGGAGGAAATTGGGTGTGCCTTGTCCTTTTTCTCCTTCTTCATGCCCTCCATGTTTCACTGTGGTGTTGGCATTTTTCTGTTGGTTCAGGCTGGGGACACACTGTCCAACGTAGGTGACAGATATTGGCACGTTATTGTAAATCCAGCACAGGGAGTTTGTGGTATTTAATGTTTGTACCATCCCACTGAGGGCAGAGCCCCACATGCTGCCCTGCAGGACAGAGCTGCGGCAGGGCAGCAGAACATGTTAGAGATAAACAGAATAAACAACCTTGAAACCAGCACAGACCAATTATGACTTTTTTGGCAGTGGGGTTGACAGACAGAGACTTTCTACAATCTTGGAATCATCAATACCTCAGATTCTGACAGTCTATAAAATGTGTGTATGGTGCAACGCGCCTCGGAGCGCTGACGGTGCGTCTAGGATTTCCCTGGGAATGTCCTTTTAATTAGGTGCTGCTCGGTGCCGTTTGATTCATCCCTAAAAGGCTTTGAGAGGACGTGTTCAGTTCTTAGGGTGTCATTTATGGTGATTATTCACATCCCAGGAAGGGTGGGGAGCTGCTGCAATCCCCCTCAGAGTCGCTGCAGGAGGGGTTTCCTCAAAAACCTCCCCAGAAGTGAGCACAGGGAGCTGTGGGACTGCAGGGAAATAGAATATATAATCTATAATGAAGGAAATACATATAATCTATAATCTATAATCTATAATCTATAATCTATAATCTATAATATATAATATGTAACATGTAACATATAATAAATAATATATATAATATAAAAATATAATAGACAATATACAATACATATAATATACAAGACATAATACACCATATGTAATATATACTATATAATATATAGTGTATTATAATATATAACATATAACATATAACATATAACATATAACATATAACATATAACATATAGTATATAATATATAATATATAATATATAATATATAATATATAATATATAATATATAATATATAATATATAATATATAATATATAATATATAATATATAATATATAATATATAACACATAATACATAATATATAATACATGACGAAGAACAATCCATTAATCAAAAAATTTTTCACTTATTTGAAGAAACTAAACTACAGAGGAGTTTTCCAAACCGGTCTTGAATTGATGAGCAATATGCATTCAAGGACTGAAGAAATGGAATTAAATTAATTTTTAAAGCAATTATTCTAAGCTTCTGGGAGCAGGTGAAGCAAATATTGGAAATAACATCCTTGCTGAGCACAAAGTTTATTTTGTAACAGGTGCCAAAATGTTCTGATGACTTAGAGATATAAACCGTGAGCAATCAAATTGTGTTTTGAAGGACATGTCAAGTCTGATATGTTTTTTATTTATATAAATAAATGAGGCGGTGTCCTTATTATGTTTACGATTTTTTTATATGTATATAAGGTTTTATCTCTATCTCTTGATATAATGCCTTTTGGTTATAATCTAATACTAGTGTATATATAATATATCAATATTATAATAGCGGTATGTTGACACATAATTACATCAATATGTTATGATTAATATACAACATTTATTATATTAATGTTAACATTAAGTGCGCATTGCAAGCCATGTATTATGCGCGATGCATTATTACATACTATACATCATCATAGATATTAATATACCATATATTACATATTATTATAGATAGAAATACTCAGTATTTATTTATACTGTACGTTGGTAATATGTTAATACGTATTAACATCTCCCACCTCCACTTGACAACTGCGGTTGCCCGGCTAATTAGACGAGCAGAAATGCCCAAGAAAGCGGAATTTTTATTTAGTTTTTATTTCTGAGGCGAGCCCACACGCGGGAGGTACCACCAGCGAGAGAAGCGCGGGGGTCGACGGGGGAGGCGGGGGGGGCGCGGTGCGGGGCTCCGCCCCGCCCCGCGCCCCCCCCGCCTCCCCCGTCGACTTATTCCCCCCTCTTCTCCCGATGGTACAGCCCACGGCGGGAAACTCCGCGCCCGCCTCACACAATGCGCGCCTGCAGTTCGCGGCGCGGCCGCTGGCGGCGCTGTAACGCCCGCCCCCCGCTCCACCGTGTGGGGGGTACCCGGATGTGGCCGCGCCGGAAGAGAAGCGCGTCTCCTCAGGGCCCGCCATCTTGTGCGGCAGCCAGCAGGGCGCGGGGGGCCCGGTAGCATCCGCGCAGGATCCCGCCGACGGGGGCCCATCATGCCCGGACACCTGCAGGAGGGCTTCGGGTGCGTCGTCACCAACCGCTTCGATCAGCTTTTTGATGACGAGTCCGATCCCTTCGAGGTGCTGCGCGCGGCGGAGAGCCGGAGGAAGGAGAGCGGCGGCGGCGGCGGCGGGAGCCAAGCGGGCGGCGGGGCCCGCGGGCCGGCGGGCGCTCAGAGCGGCTCCTCGGGCGGAGCCGGCGGAGCGGGCCAGGCTGGTGGTGGTGCGGGCAGCGCGGCCAAGCAGCTGCGCAGGGAATCGCAGAAGGAGCGCAAGAACCCGCTGCCGCCCTTCGCCGGCGGGGAGCGCCGGGAGGATGGCGGGGGCCAGCCCGGAGCGCCGCTGCGGAAGGAGGGTGAGCGGGCCGGTGGGGAGGGAGGCTCGGGCAGGGTCGGGCCGCACGTGGGGCCGGTGGCGGCGGCGCGGGGCTCGGCCCGGCCCCACGTGTCCCGGGCTCGGCCCGCGCAAAATGGAGTCGGGCGTGCGGGGCGGCCGGAGCGAGAGCAGGACCGCGGAATGGGAAATGCCGCTCGTGTTAGGAGGGATCTGAAAGGCCATCCCGTTCCAGCCCTGCCGTAGGGCACCTTCCGCTGTCCCAGCTGCTCCAGCCCCAGTGTCCAGCCTGGCCTTGGACACTTCCAGGGGTCCAGGGGCAGCCACAGCTGCTCTGGGAATTCTATTCCAGCCCCTGCCCACCCTCAGAGGGAGCAATTCCTGCCCAACATCCCTTCTAAACCGGCATATAGAATCCTGGAATGGTTCGGGTTGGAAAGGCCCTTCTCGTTCACCCCCTGCCATGGGTAGGGACACCTTCCACTAGACCAGGTTGCTCCAAGCCCCATCCGGCCTTGTATCCTGAACTTGACTCGTGTTTGATGGGTTTGACAGGATATCTGGAAGTTGCTGGGCTTTCCGAAATGTGTTTGGGTCATTTTCTAGGGGAACAGCGTTGATAGCCATCTTCTTGTTTCCATATATACTTTAATAACAACTTGCGCGAATTCTTAGCTTCCCTAAATTTCTAAGACACCCTACGTGGGAAAACTTTGTAAACAAGAAACTGAAGTACAAACAGACTGAAGAACTGGGAATTAGGAGGCCGGGGCGCACATGGATAGGGAGGGATGGGGACACATGGCGTCCCGTGCGGGCAGCAGCTCCACCGCGCCCAAACTTCAGCCCTCGGCAGGTGGGTCCCAGCTCGGGCTCAAAGGAATCCTTGGGAACAAAAAAACATCGGAGTGTGGCGACAGCAGATGACGTGGGAGCAAGCGGATAACAGGTTAACTGCAATTTCAACGAGCTTTTCACAGTGCTACCTGAAAGCATCTTAATGCTTCTGCATTTATGCTACAAAGTGATGCTGGTTTTCCACTGCTTTGTGCTGTTAAAGAAAGAAATAAGTTTAGTGTGTTATTTGTTTTGGAAAGTGGGTGTTGTAAATGTTATTCGAAAGCACCTTGTGAGAGAAGACCAGTTTAGGATGGACGGTAGAAATACTCATTGCTTGTAGATCTCGTGCTCATTAGCGTTAGGAGCGGTTTCTGTGTGAGGGATGCAGTGATCTGCCGGGAGTCCCAGCTCGCCAAACCAGTGTCCTCTGGAAGCCTCAGCGAGGTGCAGGATTCTCCCACGAGACACTCCTGGGACATGGCAGAGCCTCTGGCACCACAGCTTTGGGCAGCCCCTCTTCTTCACCTTCCGATTTTCACATCTTGTTTTCAAGAGCACTGTGAAAAATAACTGTCTTAGTGGTTTGTTATGGTAGTGAAACAGAGAAAGTCGGGGCTGCTGTTGTAGCAGTGTGGTAAACAAAGTCACTTTCCAGTTTGAAAATGTCTATTTTTGTGCGTGGCTGTTTTTGCAGTTCTGGCATCATAAAGGTGCTCGATGCCAGGGTTTGTTTCCTGTGTGAATGTATTTTAAGCTATTCCAGTACTCCATAAGGCTGCAAGTGATTTGCCTGCTGAATTAGCAGTTCAAAGCTTGGTGATGCTGAGAAATAACTCGTATTTTGGGTTAGGCTTCAGCAGGAACCGGGTTTTTCTGAGTGCAGGGCGTTGAACTCGAAATTCAAAAGCCGTGGCTGTTCCATTCCAGTTCTGCAGCATGCCTGCTCCTCTCCCTGCTTCTCCTGCTCACATGGAGTGCCTGTCCCCACTGGAGAGCCCTTCTCCCAGTGCAGGCTGCTGGCTTTAACCCCTTGTTTCCTCAGGGAGTCGGGAATGCTGAGGGAGCTATGTGTGCCATGCAAACTTCATGTTAAACACAGCTTGGAAGGTGAGGGAGACATTGTTCATCTGGGTGTGTTGGCTTGGATATCATTACAACTGCAACTTCTGTAGCCCCACCCAAATTTGACATTGCTTGCTAGGCAGGAACTCAGTTCTTTAAAAATAATTCAAAATCGGCTTTGAATTTAAAAGCTGGTTTGTTAATTTTGGAGCCAGTGTTTTGGAAAGAAAATGGTGTAAGAAATGTGTTTGTCCTCATCTTTTAAAGAAGAGTAAACATGGCCTTTCACATGAGTGGAAAAGAAAACTGTGTGAGGGCTTGGTAAAGAAGAGAATGCCCACAGGAGGTTTTTATTTGCAATAAAAACCCTTTTAGGAGGCCTAGGCAGGGAGGAAGAACGCTGGGCAGCTCGGTGGCACTGTGCATTCTTAATCTATTTCGAGAAGTGCACCAGAAGGAGAATCCTTGTGAGGGAATGTTGGACTGGGAGGATCCGTGTGGGTGAGGACCCCAGTTAGTCACTGCCCAGTGTCACTGCAGGTGACACCTGTCTGGTACAGGTGGTGGCACTGCTGCCCAGAAGAGTTTCCAAGAACACAATCCCAGGATCATTTAGGTTGGAAAACACCTCCAAGATCGTGGGGTCCAGCTGTTAGAGCAGCACAGGAGTGACCCTCTTAGGGAGCACAGGATTGAGTGCTTGAAGTGATGCTCACTTGGTTTGGGTGTTCTTCAAATAAAACCCGCTTGTTTTACCTGAAAAGCACTTTTCAGAGAAAAAAAAAAATAGTAATAAAATCCTGCTTACCTTGGTCTTTGTTTGAAAGTTGACCCTGTCATTTCAGCAGGTATTACTTAAGTTTTCAGTCAAACCCAGCTTGAAATCCTGGGTATAAAAGGGGCTGAGAGGAGTCAGGTGGGAGTGGGGCTGCTCAGCTTGTGCAGCAATAAAACTTCTCACTTGTTTGCTGGGGGGGTCGGTATCTGTCCCGGAGCACTCCACATTCCGTTGACGTGTCTGGCCTGATGTTTCAGGGATAAGGAGGATTGGCAGGAGGCCTGATCAGCAGCAGCAGCAACAGCAGCAGGGCGAAGGCAAACCCATCGACAGGAGACCCGAGCGACGACCTCCCCGCGAGCGCCGCTTCGAGAAACCCGCCGAGGAGAAGGGCGAGGGAGGAGAGTTCTCTGTGGATAAGTAAGAGTTTTGTCTTGCTGATAAACAGCTTTCCCAGCTTTGACAGGCAGGGCTCTCCTGCCTTCTGCTCAGGGAAAAAAGCTGATTGAATCAAGGTCGAATTCCTGTCATGCAGACAATAATACTTCCCTTCTCCGTGATTTTGTTTGCAAACTTCACTCAGGTTTTTGGATGTGCATGAACAGGTTCATAGGTGTAACTGAATTATGGTTTAAATCAAGATACCACATTTCTCTACACATCTGTGTCAAATAGCTCAGGAAGGGAACCCAAGCATAGCTGTTTCCTGCAGGATGAGATTTGTTTGCTGTTACAGCTGTGGCTTTAATTTCCACAGCTGATTTAAAGCCAGCAAAAGTTTGTCTGTGTAGATGTTTGCACCCTGGCTGCAACAGCTTCAGACCTGGAAGTGTTGAAGCCATCTTAGATCTACATGATATTTAAACTGTCTTGAGCATTGTGAGGCAGCCAGAATTTGAGTAATGTTCAAATATTAAAGTTTTAGTTGCCAAAGTTAAAATCCTTTTAAAAATAATTTGTATGAAAGTGAGTTTAGTTGAAGTTTGAGCATTAGTTAATTGTTTAACACAATACAAAGATTAAGTTTTGGAATTAATGTCAGAAGGTGCAAACAAACAACAATCCTGAGCATTTGTTTCCAGATTCTAAAATCATGGAACCACAGAATGGTTTGGGTTGGAAGGGACACCTCAGAGGTGATCTGGTTCCAACCTATAGCATGGGCAGGGATATTCTGCTATCCTTCTACAAGGACCTTTCACTATCCCGGGTTATTCCAAGCCCTTCTAGTCTGGCCTTGGACACTTCCAGGAATGGGGGAGTGACTTTCTTGAAGCTAGAGCCTGAACCCAGCTACAAACTAATTATCAAAGGAAAAACAAGTAAATAAAGTTCTCAAAGAGGAAAAGAACCATGAAACACGCTGTGCATTTTTGAAGGCGAATCGCTTGACCCAGCTTAGAAACAGTAATTACCAAAGCAAACCCAAGCAAATAAAAGCCTCAGAGAGGACAAGAGCATGAAATGCTGTCTGTTCCTGGAGTGGATCCCTGACCTGTGGCTGTTCCATGGCAGACCCATCCTGGACCGACCCATGCGTGGACGTGGAGGCCTGGGCCGGGGCCGCGGCCGCGGGCGCGGGATGGGCCGAGGAGATGGGTTTGACTCTCGTGGCAAACGGGAATTTGACAGACACAGCGGCAGCGATAGATCGTGAGTCTTTACCTTTTCCTGTCCCTTGTGGCTCTCCTTTACCGCTCTGCCCTCCCCTGTTTAAAATTGATCTTTTGAATTTCTGTGTCTGGACACTATAATGTTAACTCAGTTTTGTTAGTTCTGTTTCACATTCACATTTCAGCGGCCTAAAGCACGAGGACAAGCGCGGTGGCAGCGGATCACACAACTGGGGAACCGTCAAAGACGAGCTAACGTTAGTAACCTGTCATTGCTCAGAAAACCATTAGCACTGTGTTAATCAGCCCTAATTATGGCTTGCAGAACACCCAGATTTAGCTGCCTTTTTGCCTTTGATCTCCATGATTTTTGCCATGCTTCTGCAGAGTTTTAAACCTAGTGATTTCTTGTAGCATAAGAATAGCTTCGTTGTTCAGCCAGAGTTTTGGGGAAGTTTGGGAGGTCTTGTGCTGGTTTGGTGATTCTTCACTGGTAGTTCTTTGTTAAAATTAAACTGTTCTATTTTTAGTAATTTTTGATAAGCATGCACTTTGTATTACAAAAATTGAGCTGCCCCGTTGAAATCTATTTTTAATGCCCAAATCCATTTTGCGTTGGAAAGGACAAGTGGGAGCCTTTCAGGAGAGGTAGTAAGAAGCATTGGGGAAAGAAGCATTAGTTAAGGGAAAAACACAAGAGTTTAAAAGGCACAGAGAGCACCAATCCTTACTGAAACAGTAAATCCACCGTAGATCTTGATTGTTAATCTTACATAGCTTTAAAGAGGGATGAAGTTGTAAAAAAGCCCCAACTCCCAACATTATGTAATTGCAGTGAATTGGATCAGTCAGCTGTAACTGAGGAAACGCCGGAGGGAGAGGAGCATCCGCCTGCTGATTCTGAAAATAAGTGAGTACCACCCCTCTCCGTGCTCCTGGTGCTTCAGGGGTGCTGTTGCATTCCCTTTAACCTCTACCATTTATTCCCACATCTGTTTGGCCAAAGTCACATTATCAGTAGATCATCCACAGTGCTGCTGAATGAGTCTCCTTAAAAACCTCGTGTCTGGAAACTGTTTTAAACCATTCCTTGGTGTCCTGCAGTCTCTTTCAGATCTATTTATTAATGATCATTTCTAATACATTTGGGGTCTTGGGATTGCAACTCCAAATTCCAAACCCAAAAGCATCTGGGCTCAGACTAGGTAGGAGCGCAAAGCGAATGGGATGGAAGTGCCAGTGGAAGGCAACTGTTTAAAACTTAATTTTCCAGAGGAGCCTTGGAGACTATGTGCCTGAGCTGTAGGAGAAAGGTTGTATCTTTCATTCTCCAGGCAGTTTTCAAAGTTACCTGTGTCTTTTCCCATCTCACTTGGACACAGTTACAGAAGGAGCCAGGGACTGGATGAATGAAAGAGTAACCAGAGAAGTAGAGGGAGTCTCAATGATACTAAGTTGATGTAAAAATACAATACAAATTGTTATGGTAGCCTAGTGTGACTAATGTTGTATTTTAATGAGGAGTGGGCTTTGTAGAGGACTCAAAAAATGGCAAACAGAATTTTGAAGTACTTGTCATTCTGAATGTGTTTGCCATGGCCTGGTTGCCTCACTGAAAAGTTTCTCTATAGAAAAGCATCTCCACATTTTATGTGTCTGGTTTTATGTGGATCTTTACTCTGTGTTTCAGCAGAACTGTAGGATGTTATACTGCAGTAAAATCTTTGCCTTGAACAAAACAAATTCTGATTACATCCCATGTCAAAAATCATTCTCTCCTACACAGTGAGAAAAAGCTGAAATACAGTTATTTTGACATAAAACCTTTGTGTTATTGTTCAAAATTAATGGCTGCCAAATAAAAGCCTTTGAAATTGAGGCTTTTGTGATCTTTTTGCTGCACATACACAGCAATGGTTTCCTATAAATCAGAAATTCAGTTGCATAAATGCACTGAACAATGACCAGAGGCTTCCAGTAGCTGGAATATGATCTGTTACTGAGCACAGTGGTTGTGTGTTTTACTTAAAAATAGCCTTTGGCACACAAGATGTGCTGTATCTCACAAATAAGGTGTGTGCTGTTACTTTTTCAAATGAGCTGGGAGTAAAACTTGTTTGAATAATTGTCTTCAGCTCAACAAAGGAAGCAAATTATCCAAAGCTGCTTAAATTTCGGTTTTTAAAATACTAAAAAGCTTGAAAACTGTGGGAAGAGCAAGTTCTCACTGTCTTGACTTGAATGTGTATGAGAGATGTGGTTCAAAAAGGGGGGAAGAAGCTCCAAGTGAGTCATGCCAGAAGTTGGGCTTTCAGATTTGGAAATAAAATTGTCAGTAATGTGGAGATTTGATGGCATGGGTCAGTTTTAATTTTAACACTTTGCTGTGCTCAGTGGTGACTGGGTGTAATTTTTTTGGCACTCCCTCTAAAGGAGTTGAACTTTCCTGTGGTGGAAGTGACTGTTGATGTTTTCATCTTTTAACTGCTAAATCCTTGACAAAGTTCAATTTATAACCTGGTACCAGCCAGCAAACGATTTTGAGATTGTATCCAGAGTGTAAATCCTTAGTTGTGATGATAATCTGCATGAATTCACCACAGAGAGAATGAGGTTGAAGAAGTTAAGGAAGAAGGCCCCAAGGAGATGACCCTGGATGAGTGGAAAGCCATTCAAAGCAAGGATCGTGCAAAAGTCGAGTTCAACATCCGCAAACCAAACGAGGGAGCTGATGGGCAGTGGAAAAAAGGATTTGTGCTCCACAAGTCAAAGAGTGAGGAGGTAAAGTGCCTTTCCATACACAGAGCATCCACTTTGTAAAGGTTTTGTTGTTGATGAGCATTTTTTGGAGTGGAAGCTCCATTCTGGGAGATGCTGATCTTTAATTGGAAATTTCGAAAGCGGGAACAGCATTTTTTAAAATTTGAACTTCATTCTTGTTCATTTGAGCGACGTTCTTTTAGCAGAATTGAACTTCTGCAGTAGCACAAGTGGCTATTCTGACTGTGGTTGGGTTCAGGAGCTGAGCTGTGCCCTTAGGTTTGTAAGAGTTGCCTCTTGCTGAGAGTTTCAGGGGAGTGTTGTCAAGTTTGCTTTCTAAAAAAGGCAGCTTGTGTTATTTAGCATCTGTTCTGCAGTACACAGGTTCATGGTGCTTGCTAAGTGATGTCAGCTTGAAGGAAGACTGGTCATGCCTCAGAGACCTTAAACCCAAACTGTGCATCTGAAATTTGTGGTGTGGGTGTCTCCTCACTTAGTGCTGTGACACTGACAAGCTCTTGGGAAGGCAGTTGGAATGATTTATGTGCTCCAGCTTAGCTGCTGTAGAATTGTTTTAAATTCGTAGTTTCTCATTTCAGGCATTGCATAATGTTCATTATTCTCTTCCAAGAGTGGCAAGGGGGGATGCACAGGGGAGGGAAGCGCTGAGAGCTCTTGTTTTGTAATGCAGGGCCGTGCTAATCTTTGGTTCTAATCTTTGTTTTTAACACTCTGTAATATGTTAAGTAGCTCGCTTAAGAGGTTGGTGGCAGCAACTTTGTATACTGATGGTGCTGAGTCCTTTGAAGTGACTGGATAGTGTGTAATACTCTGCTTGCTCTCCTAAAATGTATTCCTGCTTTTTCACACCTTGCTAGTTTTTATCCTGGGAGCTGGGATGCAATCCATGGGTGGGTAGTGGGTGGGGGCACTGCTCAGTGTTCAGTGAAAGTTCCATTTCGGCTCTGATTGAGCTCCCAGTGGGGTTGACTTGGTCACAGATCAGGCTGTTTTCTTGTTGTGTGGGGTAGTTCAGTTCTTGAAGTGATTGCATGGCTGTTCACTGAAGTGTTCATTAAATGCTGCTTTCTCTGGCTTGGGTAGAAAAGGGAATTTGAGTTACATTCAATGTTGCTGTGTGCTGAAAGAATGTATTAAACAGAAGTATTTATGCACTTTACCAAGATTTACTAAACCTGTAGTTCTTCAAATTCCCTCAGTCTCTCTGAATCACATTTATTTAACATTTACTCATCTGAAGGCACTCTTTTTTAACATATGAGCATACATGATAGTAAATGTGATGCTACTTGTGAGAATTTAGAAGCTAGAAAGATCCAGACTCTATTTGCCATTTGAAAACTGAATCAGTTAACTCAAAAAAAAGAAAAAACTAACAAAACAACCAAGCAAAAAACAATAACAAAAAAATCTGTACAAAAGCTGTGAATAATCAAATTACTCCCGTGGAAGACCTGATGTAATTAGTAGATTGTTCTGTTTAAGAGGTGAACTTCTCAAATAAACAAGTTGGATATTTTTAGCACCATCACATAAGAAGGTAACAGCCTCTTGCTGCGTAAGCATGAAAGTGAGGTATTAACAAATCTGCCTTCAAATTGAGCTGCTTTTAGCCTGCTTTATTGTCCACCCAGCAGATGTGTCTCCCCATCTCCCTTCTTCATTGTTCCCTGATCCCATGGGAAGCAGTGTGGGGATTTTCTCTCAGGATTATAGGAGAATAGCTCTATAATACAGGCGTTAGGAAAGCTTCCACTGCAGCTCCTTTGTGAGCAGCTTTAGAAGGCAACATAGTTTAAAAACCACCAATCACCTGCTGTTTCCTCTCTTTGTCCTCTTGGGTGTACTTAGGAGTCAAGAAATTCTCCGATTCTTATCGGTAAGAAGAAGATGATGTGTGGAAGTGATTTGGTTTATAGGTAAATTTTGGGTTTTAGACCCAAATCTTCTGTACTCTTACCGCTGAAAAACCCAGTGTGCCCCAGTAGATCTCTCAGAAATAGGAAGTGTGATGAGCACCTCCATTCCTGTAGCTTGACAACTCCTTGGAGAATACCCCAGGAGTCTGGAGAAAGGGAGAATGAGGATCTGATGCTGCTCAGTCTTGGAAAGAGCTGTCCTCCTTTTCCTCCTTCTTGTCTTCTTGGCTGAGGGGTGCAATGTTCAGCCCTGCCTGAGTCTGTCCTCTAGTTCCCATTTACTCTGCAGGCACTGATAGTATGAACTCAGTTCTGTCTCAGGTTTTGCTGCTTTCTTCTGACATCCAGGGACGTCAGCAGTCCTGGTCCAAGGAGCCTCTTCCCAGGACACAGGCTTATGCCATAAAACAGAGTTCCTCTTTTTATCTGCAGCTGGTTTAGTGGCTTGAGTCTTCAGTTCCTGCAAAAAACAGGAAGGAGTTGTGGACAGATCCTACAATTCATCCCAAAAGTGGAATCCAGGACTCCTGGAAAAACTGATACCTCTGTCTCTGCTGTGCCTCTTCAAACCCCCTCACTAATCCAATCCCTTCCTTAGAGGAGGTTGCACTAGGAGATGAGGAGATGTATTTTGGAAAAGAATGATTCATCCCCTCAAAGTTGGGAGGAATGACTCTTGAATGAATGTTCTGCAGGAAGATTTCCATGAGCACTGGTTCAAACATCCCAGCTCTTCCCATCTCCGTGCCTGACGTGTGGCCATGCTGGAAACCAGCCTGCATGTGTGGTCTCTGCCAGGGCTTCCAGCAGCTCCTGGGCAGCTTCTTGGTGTCCATCCACCTGAGCTTTTGGGTTGGTGCCTGTCCACCTGAGCTTTTTCTTGGTGTCCATCCACTTGAGCTTTAGGGTTGGTGTCTGTCCATCTGAGCTTTTTCTTGGTGTCCACCTGAGCTTTGTTTTGGTGTCTGTCCATCTGAGCTCTTTCTTGGTGTCCATCTGAGCTTTCTCTTGTCTCCACACGTGGCCCGTCCATCCTGCGCTGTCTCTGGCTGCTTGCACAGCTGCTCCATGTGCCCAGTGCCATCTGTACCCAGCAGCTCCTGTGACCTGATTACCTGTTGTTCCTGTATGTAGTTGAGTCTCATTTCTTCCTTTTGTTTTCTCCCTCTGTTCCTTTTGTCACTTTGGCGTGGACACCCAACTGTCACCAGACAAAGGCGATGACAGAAATGCAGGGGAGTCTGCTGGATTCAAATGAGGTACTGATCTTTCTCTGTCAGTGGTGATACCTGCTGTTAACACCAGCCCCTTCAGCAGGGAACGTTTGGATATTAAAAACTCACCAAAAGAAAGAATTTTATTGAACATGGAGCTTTTCTGTCTGTGCCTGTTGTCTCACTGTGCACCATCCAGCACCCAGCATGGTTTTAGTCCTCTTGCTTCTCATCCTGCTTATCTCAAACCTTATCATAAGAGCTTCTATCATGAGTCTCTATTTTTTGTTGCTGCTGTTTTTCCATCTCTCACTGTTTGCTTTGGCTCTCTTGGTAGTTTGTTCTTCATTTTTGACAGCCTTCCCCAAGACCCTTAAGTGCAGCACTGCCTTCAAGAAGTGATCAGTTATTAAATCAAAGCACTGTTGAGTCACCAATACACTGAAATCGAATGTTTCCCAGGGTTTTTCAGGATAAGCAACTTGTTCACTATGTCTGTCTTATCACCCCAGTGATGGAAGAGGCTGAGGAGAATGTGCCAAGTCTTTTGTTGGAGTTTTAAATGACTTTTAATTACTTTGGATAGAGAAATCATCAGGTTACGGAGGGAATTTGGAATTTGTTGGTTCAGTGGTTATACCAACAGCAAATTGTGGAAATATGATGACTTTTGGTAAACTGTAGTGATTTAGTTTTAAATAAAAACAGTATAGGGAGAGAAATGCACAGAAATGCTGTACAAATCCACTGATCCCACCATTCAGAAAAGGGATTTGCCACATGGCTACCAGTAGTTGGGAATAGAATCTCAATACCCTGCAGTGATAAAAAATTAAATAGTAAGAAAGGAATTTAAATCATTTCTAAGAGAGGTTTTACAGATTTTTAATGTTAGGTTTGAGTAGTGCCACATCAGGCTGAGGCATGGAATGCTTTTCTTTGTTGAGACAAACTTCCTAAGTTTGGCAAAGAGATTCCCAAGAGAAGGAAAAATAAAGTCAGGAGTGGAGTAGGGACCACCTATTCTGTGGGATACATCCCAGTGGAATGTGTTGGAAATAAAGCAGCATGCAAGGGGTATTTTGAACCAAATTTGGGATGGAGGGAGAGGGCAAAGGGGAATGGCAGGGATAGATGGGATATTGGGAAGGACCCATGGAGTCCCTGGCAGCAGCTTTGGCTGCAGACCTGGCTCCATCCCCTGGCAGCCTTGTGAAGGCTCCACAAATGGTAATTAAAGATCACAGGGCTTAATTACACAATGTGTTGCTTTTGAAAGTCCAAATGTTGTGTAACTACAGCAGAAAAGTCAGTTGGAGTTGGGAAGCTTGAACTGCACGTGGCATTTGTGTGGGAAAACCAGGAAATTGATGAGTGCTGTGCCAGGAGTTGGGGGCTTGGAGGGAAGGAAAATGTTTGGATGCTGTCATGTTTCCAAAACACCATGATTGAGCTGTAATGGGCAGGTTTTTACTTTTTTTTTTTGTTATCCTGGATGCTGAAAACTGGCTTGCACGTGGAAAAAATATTTGTGTAAAACAGGAGAAATAACTGCTTTAAGAACACCTGCTGGGGTTCAGCGTGGGACTGAAATTTTCCAAGGTTGCTGGTGTTGGTAACTCCTGGGAGCATCCCTTGCTCCTCCAGGCTTGAGTTTCACCAAATGCACTGGGAGCAAACCAGTAAGGGAATATCATGGCAAAGCTGCTGAGATCCACATTTTCCAGTGTCCCTGGTGAGACTGGTTGTGTTTTAGCTCCTTCAGCTCCTTGTGTTTGAGCTTTTTGGCCTCATTTTCTGTTACAGTGAATGCAGAGCAGTGAGGGATTCTCAGTATTTATCAAGGGCTAAAACAAAGTGTAAATCCTCAGGGAGCAAAATCAGGATGGGTGACCAAGAGTGGAAAAAGAATGAAGGAATTGGTGGAACCAGGACATAAAATGAGAATTGCTACAACAGGAGATTCTTTACAGGCTTGGTAATAGTCTGGTCTGGGATTAAGGACATGTTGCTCAGATGGAGTTTTGGGAAGCATTTCTCTATGGAAAGGGTGTTCAGGCATTGGAAGGAGCTGTCCAGGCAGGTTTGGATTGCCCATCCCTGGGGTGTGTCCAGGGGAGGACTGGACATGGGCTGGTGACAAGGAGGGGATTGGGCACAGGCTGGACTCAATCCTGGAGGACTTTTCCAACTCAGCGATTGTGTGAACTCATAAATTCTCTTGGAAAGGCCAAATACTTTGGTTCCTCAGAAATTGTGAGGGCAGGCTGTCGGAATCTGTGGGTATTGGTGATTCCCAGATTGTAGAAAGTCTCTGTCTGTCAGCCCCCTGCCAAAGCAGAAGCCATAATTGGTCTGTGCTGGTTTCAAGGTTGTTTATTCTGTTTATCTCTAACATGTTCTGCTGCCCTGCCGCAGCTCTGTCCTGCAGGGCAGCGTGTGGGGCTCTGCCCTCAGTGGGATGGTACAAACATTAAATACCACAAACTACCTGTGCTGGATTTACAATAACGTGCCAATATCTGTCACCTACGTTGGACAGTGTGTCCCCAGCCTGAACCAACAGAAAAATGCCAACACCACAGTGAAACATGGAGGGCATGAAGAAGGAGGAAAAGGACAAGGCACACCCAATTTCCTCCATCTTGTCCCCTCTGAACCCCTAATCTAGAATCCTAAAATTTTACTTTTGCACCCATGCCACACTTAATTATTACTCTTATCAAACACTCAGAGCTGGTAATTCATCCTGTAAGACTGAAAACTCTTTTCCATGGGCAGAGATCACAGCCAGTGTCTCTGGGGGCTCTGTCCAGGGGGGTTCCTGACCCCTGCCAGGGTCCCAGGGCAGCCAGAGGGAAGCCCTGGATTCCCACACAAGCCAGGAGTGGCTGTTGGGGGTGGCCAGGAGGGGGATTTGGTGCTCTTGCCCTGCTGATGGAGAACTGCTGCCGGTTGCAGGCTCACGCTGAGGACTCGGTGATGGATCACCACTTCCGCAAGCCCGCCAACGACATCACGTCCCAGCTGGAGATCAACTTCGGGGACCTGGGGCGCCCCGGGCGCGGCGGCAGAGGCGGCCGGGGGGGCCGGGGCCGCGGGGGCAGGGCCAGCCGTGGGGGCAGGACTGACAAGGTGAGCAGCACCCCGGGTGAGACCACTCCCTTCCATCCTGCTGGCATCCTCCTTGTCCCTGGGAAGATGCTCTGACAGCAAATGGGGTGTTTTAAACCCACCTGAAAACCCTGCTGTGCAAAGCTGACGTGAAACCGCCTCGTTAGCACAAAATTGTTTGAGCAGTGCTGTCACCAAACACACAAGAGTGAGGGTGAATTTTTGATAAGTGCCTGTCTTTGTGTCTGAACCTGAAGAATGGCTTTGTAGTGTGGGCAGATCTGAATGTACCATGAGCTGCCTGAGGTGATGCCAGAGCAGAGCCACAAGTGCTGGGCTGGTTATTTTCAGCCACAGCCAGGACACTCTGTGTGCATTGTGACCTGCTGGGGGTGAAGGACTGGTTGTACAGCTGCATGTCACTTCTTGAACCTGAGGAATTCAGATTTTCCAGTTGGAAACAGGGCTCTTACTGGTTTTTCTCTAACCTCCAGTAATGTTTTACCCTTCTTCGGTGCTAAGGCACTGGGGGGAATATCCTGCAAAAATACTGAATGGGGTCTGGGAGAGAATATGTGAAGTTCAAGCACTGCAGTGTGGCTACAGTGAAGATTTGATTTATTATTAATCACTTACTTGCCTTAAAGGCATCAATCAAATTGTTACTGGTTGGGAAATGAGCTCAGTGAGTGTGCTGTGATTTTCTTCACACAGATTTGCTTGGTTTTGTCCCTTCTAGCCGACACAGACTTCACAAATTTTACTTTATTAGTTGGGAAGCCTCTCCTGACAGCAGTATCACAATATTTTAAGGAATTGAAATTAAACAGTCGTGGTTTGGTCTGAGTTGTTTCACTAATACTCTTCAAAAATGCTGCTGTAAAGTAATTCCAAGCTTTCCTGCACCTGACTTTGTGTTGCTTTTGTTTCCTTGCAGTTGGTCAAGGAGTTTGATGTGATCCACACGCCCAACCAGGTGGGTGAGCTCTGCATGAGCATTCCCTGGGATCAGGGACCAAAACTTCCCTTTTTTTGGCTGTTACTGCTCTTGTGTGCTGAGCAACTGGAGGTGCTGAGCCTGTAGCTTAAGCCCTGCTGTTGCTTTTCAATTCTGGTTTGTGGCCTGTGGAGTCTTAGGCAGGGCAGAGATTCTGCAGCTACAGGTGTTGATGCAACTCTCATTTTAAATATAATTGTTGATAAATTAATGCCGTGACAGGAAGTTCCACTATCTTGGCTCCTCCCATTCTTATCCAAGGACCAAGTGAAGAGTATGAAATTCTTAATTTTTGCACTGTTTTTTAGGTGTGGTGCAGAGCCTTTCAGAAAATTACTGAGGAGATCCTTACCTAATGAATGAATTTTTAGGGCTAAAAATTTGGCACAAAAATTACTTCATCAACGTCTGGCTTCTGAGTGGGAAAAATTAAACATGAAGGATTTAATTTGTGCTCCAGAAAGGGCCTTTTCTGTAACATTTCAGTTGTGTCCCTCAGTAAGGGAAGGATCAGCCCATGGCAGGAGGTTGGAATTCCGTGGTCTTGAAGGTCCTTTCCAACCCAGACCATTCTGAGATCTCTTTAAAAAGAGAATTGTGCAATAATGATGTGCAAACATCAATTTGCCTCCAATTCCTCTCCAGATAGCTTGGATTCAAAAACTGTATAGGAGGCTTTGTAATGCTTGGAATAAACAAAAAAAGGGTTGTTTTTGCAGTGATTCCTCCAACTCAAAGTGCTGCCACCTCTGCCTCAAGGCAATAACTCTGTGATGTTTCTCTTGCAGTCAAGTGCTTCTGCTCCTGACGTAGATGACCCAGAGGCTTTCCCAGCTCTGTCCTAAACTGGATGTCATAAAGCCAACCCTGCCCTGGTCGGGCCTTCCTCTCCGAGGCTTGCATGCTTAAGGATCCTAAAACAACTAAGAAATTGAAAAAAAAAACAAAACAAAAACAAACAAAAAAAAAGAGACTGTCATTCATACCATTCACACCTAAAGACTGAATTTTATCTGTTTTGAAAATGAACTTCTCTCGCTACACAGAAGCAACAATATGGTAGTCAAGTTTTGTATTTAGAAATGTAATGGTAGCAGGGATGTTTTCATAATTTTTTCAGAGATTATGCATTCTTCATGGATACTTTTTTGTATTGCTGCTTGAAAATATGCGTTTCCAAACTTGAAATATAGGTGTGAACAGTGTGTACCAGTTAAAAGCTTTCCCTTCATTTGTGTTCTTTTTTTTTTTTTAATTTAAAGTCAGGATTTTAGACTTTCCCCATTCCTCCCCCAAACTCCAAATTAGGTTTTAATTATTGCACACTACTTCAGTTTCTTTAATTCCTCTTTGGCAGATTTTTCTCAGCCCATGGAATCTGTGGAATATTAATTTGGCAGACTGTTAGTGCTGTATGGAATGAACTCCTGGAGTACTTAAGTTCTAATGCTTCACTTCCAACATGGAAAACCAGAAATTTCTTCATCTTTGTTGGGTAGTTTGTTTACACAAAATCTTTCTAGAAAATTTAAAGCAGATACTTGAAATCAAGATTCAAAGCACATTGGTTTATGACTCAATACCTGTGTATGGTTCCAGCAATGGGTAACTGGTCTGAAAACCAGGTTTTTTAAATTCCTGTATCCCACCTTGCACTCCCCCTTTGGACCTTCATTTCCTCTTCCTTCCCTTCAACAGAACAAGATGCATTTTTGGCAAAAAAAAAGAGTTTTTTAAGTACCTTTGCTTTTTGTTTGAGAGGATACCCTGAGACCCAGGGAATTCCTGTTGTTGCAGCTGGGATGCCCTGAAATAGAGGGAATTCCTGCTGTTGGAGCTGGAATTTCATGAGAATGGGGGAAATTCCTGTCCTTGGAGCTGGGATACCCTGAAATGCAGGGAATTCATGTCCTTGGAGCTGGGATTCCGTGAGATTGGGGCAATTCCTTTCCTTGGAGCTGGAATTCCATGAGTCTGGGGGAGCTGTTGGAGCTGGGATGGGGGGAAGGTGGCAGCTGTGGCTCTGGAAGCCCAGGTGGATTCCAGGTGGGATGTGGGGTTGCCACACGGGTGCAGCAGGACCTGAGGCATTCCCAGCACTGCTCCAGGTGTTCCCAGGAGGGAGCTGGGCTGGCTCAGGAGGGAGTTGTGGCTCATGGTTGGACACTGGGACAGTGGCAATCTGTGCATGGGACACCAAAAGTTCACCCCACAACCTCAACACTCCACCTCTCCATCCAAATGCAGCTCTGGCTCGGTGCAGTGCTCATGATCTGCCTGGGACATCACCAAGGAATGTTTTTTCCAGGGAATGATTGTAAGAAATTCCTTCTCCCCCCTCAAAATCCCACCATAGGTTCAATTTCATCCCCGTGTATCCCTTCAATACACAAAAGGTGCTGAGTGACTGGCTCATAAAGAGGATTTCCTGTAGGTTTTATCAGCATTTGTTAGGAGAGTAGAAGGAAATCTCTTAATTTTATTTATGCTTTCCTCTTTGGCCAGCTTAGAACAGATTTGTAGTTCTGTACGTAGGTAGAAAACTAAAGGTAACACCCTATTTTTATAAAAACTGTACAGGACAGGCAGGAAGTGTTGGAGACCTTGGAGTATGGAATACCAGCCTGCTCAGCTGGGGTGTTAGCAGCTGCCTTTGCTTTTCCTGAGCTGTTTTCCACGAGAATTCCTCTTGTGACCCACTGTGAGTATCATGGATCAGTTCCCTCACCTGGATTTCCAGCCCTGGGCAGGAGGAGGAGGCAGATTTTCCATCAGAGGGTGGGAAAATCCCTTGGTTCTCCTCTCCTGAGTCTGCTCTCAGAGTGGGGCTGTTCCTTTTCCCTCTCCCACTGTCTGGTGGGATGTGCTGCCCTTCCAGCCTTAGGGACAGCCTGGCTGACACACAAACAGGTGGAGCAAAGCTTTCCCTGGAATTCAACCCTTCCTTCATCCAAACTGCTGTTCCAGATGCCACCCAGGTGATTTTGCTGGCTGGATTTTTCCCTTTTCCTGCTCTAGAGCATTCCCAAATTGCACCTAGAGTGATTTTCAACACAGCTTGTAACTTAAAATTGGTCCTTCTGCTGTTCTGCCAGATGTAAATTCACCTCTTTCAGTCCATTTGTGTCAAGAACTAAAACTGTGAACATTTATCTTTAATATTGGTGGGTGTTAACTGAAATAAAGGTTTATTTTCATGCTCTTTTAAAAACAATGTCCTGAAAACCACGTGGCAATGAAACCACTGAGGTTCATAGTGGCTCATTAGGGTCTGTCCCAGGAAGTCCAGCGTGCATTCCCACCCTCAGGATGGATTTTGCCTTGGAAAAGCATCTCCAAGTAGGTTATTTATGATTAATGAACTTTTAGTAACATTTTCTGTCCTCTTGCTGTCACACCAAATCTAGGGGAGTGCAACTTTTAAATTCTGATCTTTTGGAAAAGAGAGCAGAGAAAGTTGGAGGCGTGGAGCAGATTGGCCTTGGAATGAGCAAGGGCAAGGTTTGAGCAGGGGAGTTTTCTCAGAGCTGGAACGGTAAGAGGGAGCAGGGGGGATTGATTGATCAGTTCCAAGAGTTAGCTGTGTGTGGGGAAGGACATGGATTCTCCTGGAATGTCAGGAATCAGTGGGAATGTGTGGTGGCAATAGTTGGAGGAGCTGAGCCCACCCTCAGCTGTAACTGTGCCCATGGGGATGGCTTTGCAAAGAGCTCTGGTTTAATAAACCCAGCACTGACAGCCAGCTGTGCCTCAGCCAGGTTCACATTCAGGGTGTTCCCAGGACAGCCAAACCTGGTATTCCTGCTGGAAAGGGTGTCCTGAGGGGGGAATCCCCTCCTGGGATGCTCAGAGACATCATTGGGAGACTTCCAGGCTGGAGTTACAGAAGTCTGGTCCTTGTCTCTTGGGTAAGGCTGGACATGAATCCCCACGTTTTGATAGATTTGGAGATTTGTGGAGTGAGGACAAAATGAATTCCAGTGTTCTCTTATCCTTATGTTGAGCTAGAAGATCAGCATGCAGAAAAAGATGAATGGCAGAACAGTGCTTTTGTGAGAAAACCATTTTTTGGCATCTAATCTGCCTTTCTGGAGGGGGCTGAGTTGTGGCCCCCAGGCAGGGTGTGGAGAGCAGGCATCAAGTTCTGATTTTTTGGATGTCTGACCCAGTTCTGAGGGAGATGTTTTCCTTTGATGTCACCCAGCCAGGTGACACAGGTGGGACCAGACCTCAGAGGCCCAAAGTGCAATGGCTGAGGGGGTATTTGGCAATACCCAAATCTGCACTTGAGTGGTGGCAGCAGCAGCTCGTGCCCCCGCTTGGGGATGCAGAGGATGCTCCAGGTAAGTCCATACCTGGACTATTCCATCTTGAACTGCAATGTTTCAGCTTTATTTTTAATATTTAATTGTTCTCTGTAAAGCTGGAACTTGACCAGAGAAAACAACAGGAAGCCAAGTTCAGATTTCCAACATTTTATTTATATACACACATCTGGTAAACAAAGTCATTAAATGTGTAACACCCTTGCAGCCTGTAATTAGAACACTCCAATAAATCACTTAAATTCCTCTTGACAATCCATTTGACTGAGTACAGATGCTGCCTGCTGCTTTTAGTTCTGGGGAGGAATTTTCCTGCCCTGACCTGAGGCAAGGAAGGGGCCCTGGCTCTGGTGCTGTGTCCCTCGTGGTGACACTGGGGACTCTGTGACCTGGTGCCAAGGGAGGAACAAGAGGTGCTGAGCTGCTCCATCCTTCCCTTTTACAGTTCCTTGCTCTTTCTGGTGGAAATTATTTTTTCCAGCTCCAATCCTGGGCTTGAGGCAGTCCAGGCTGCAGGAAGGGCTCCCAAAATCCCCAAAATCCAGCTCTGGCATCCCCAGCTGTGCCTCTGATTGCAGAGTGCCCGAGGAGCAGCCCTGTCCTAAGGTGAGGTGAGACTGGGGAAGGGTTTTGTCACTTGGAGATGTCACATGTGAGGGACTGGACTGGCTGTGCTGAAACACCGAAATATTTCATAAATGCCAAAATCCAGGCTGGGCTTACACAAAACACTCCGTAAAGGTGCCAAAATCCAGGCTGAGCCCGCATTGAAACACTGAAATACCCTATAAAGTGCCAAAATCCAGGCTGAGCTCACCCCTAAACACCGAAATGCTTTGTAAAGTGCCAAAATTGTCGCCGGGCTCACATCGCCCCCTGCCTAGCTCGGGAAGGAGCTGCCGCTGAGCTTCACTCGGTCCAAAGTCAGATTCCCCCGGCAGGAGGGGGCGGGAGGCAGGAACGCGGTCGGGAAGGGGGAGAAGGGGCTGGGGTCGGGCTCGGGGACAGGGACCGGGGACAGGGACAGGGTGGTGGGGTTGGAGATGTACTGGGGGTCGGGGACAGGGACCGGGGACAGGGACAGGGTGGTGGGGTTGGAGATGTACTGGGGCTCCGGTGACAGGGTGGCGGGGTTGGAGATGGGCTCGGGGACCGGGGACAGGGTGACGGGGTTGGAGATGTGCTCGGGCTCGGGGACAGGGACAGGGGACAGGGTGATGGGGTTGGAGATGGGCTCGGGGACAGGGACAGGCTCCGGGGACAGGGTGGCGGGGTTGGAGATGTACTCGGGGACAGGGGACAGGGTGCCGGGGTTGGAGATGTACTGGGGCTCGGGGACACACTCCGGGGACAGGGTGGCGGGGTTGGAGATGTGCTCGGGGACAGGGACCGGGGACAGGGTGACGAGGTTGGAGATGGGCTCGGGGACAGGGACAGACTCCGGGGACAGGGTGATGGGGTTGGAGATGTACTGGGGCTCCGGGGACAGGGTGCCGGGGTTGGATATGGGCTCAGGGACCGGGGACAGGGTGATGGGATTGGAGATGTACTCGGGCTCCGGGGAGAGGGTGCCGGGGTTGGAGATGTACTCGGGCTCCGGGGAGAGGGTGGCGGGGTTGGAGATGTGCTCGGGAACCGGCTCCGGGGACAAGGTGACGGGGTTGGAGATGTACTCGGGGACAGGGGACAGGGTGACGGGGTTGGAGATGTACTCGGGCTCGGGGGGCTCCATCTCCTCCCCCACCAGCCTCTGGTACAGCTTCGGGAGCTGCTGCTCCTCGGCCGGGCTCTCCTGTGCCCAGTCTCCGTGCCCAGCGCTGCTCACCCCCAGCTTGTCCCCGGGCATGGGGGGCTCAGGGGGAGCCCCCGAGGTTTCCTCCACCGGGCTGGGCTCGGGCTCCTCGAGGCCGCAGGGCAGGAAGGGGCTGGAGGGAGCGCTCAGCTCGGCCTGCGGGGGGACAGGGAGTGAATCCCGGCATGGGTCTCGCTCCCCAAAGCCACTCATCCCGCTGGGAACGGGAGATCTCGGCCTTCTTCTGGAATTTAATTCACCCAGCGCATCCTCCGCTCTCCTCCAGCAGAGATTATCCGCTGCCAGAGATTGCTGGATTTGCTGCTTTAGGAGATTACTGGCTCGCATGGCTCCAATTGCTTCTTTTTAATGAAGGTTGTGGGATTAGAAGGAAAAACCTCTCTAATTTACCTTGGTAGCTGCTAAACTCTTGGCCCACGTGGCGTTGGCAGGGTCGGGAATGGCTTTGCTCTGCCACTCTGGCAGGAGGAGGGACAGGAGCCACTGGAACCTGCAGGGGGGATAAATGCAATTGAAAACATGAATGGTGGTACCTGCAGCACCCTCGTGCTCCTTGGGCGTGGAATTAACCCAAGTGTGATCATGGATCTGCCCTCAGAGGGACCTGCAGAGCTCTTGGCTGGGTGGGGATAATTCCCAAGGATTGCTCCCCTTCAGTTTGGTTTCAAGATCTGGTTAAAAATTCCCAATATCTGTGGACTACGGGTGTATTTTAAGCTCAGAGCCTTGTTTTATCATGTTTTTACATATACTCAGAAAACTTCATTTTGATCAATCCTCAATGTTCCATGCTCGTGAAGGGGCATGATCATCCTGTAGGACAAGGGAAAATGGTTTGAAACTATTTTTAAACTAACAGAGGGTTGGTTTAGATTAGATGGGAGTGAAGATTTTAAAAATGCACTGGCACAGGTGCCCAGAGCTGCTGTGGCTGCCCCTGGATCCCTGGCAGTGCCCAGGGCCAGGCTGGGCACTGGGGCTGGAGCTCCTGGGACAGTGGGAGGTGTCCCTGCCATGGCAGGGGTGGCACTGGGTGGGATTTAAGATCTCTTTCAAGCCAAACCATTGTGGGATTGAATCCCTCCTGATAACCATCCCGCTTTCTTTGGGACACAGCTGATGGATCTACTCACACTCTCCTCGCTGGAGGCACAGAACAAAGGCAGGCTGAGAGGACCAAGAAGCTGCAGATGATCACCAGAGTCACCCAGCCCCCAGCACCTGGAATGCAGAGCAGCCACCATTCAGCTCCATCAAAAAGATGAAAAAAACCCAAATCTTTCTGTGCTCCATGACTAAACCACCCTTCACCACAGAGGAAACATCCCAGAACAGCTTAAAGGCAAAGATTCCACACCCTAAACCCGGCTGAAACTGCAAATCTGAGAGATCTTCAGAAGGCTTGGAGAGCTCCGGTGACTGCAGAGGAGCGGGAAAAGCATTCCCAGAGTGTGGGAAGGGGGATCCAAGGGCAAAGACCCCCCTGGCACCTCTTCCTTACTCTCCAGGCAGACGCTGTCGCTGTTGCCCCGGGGCCCCTCCCCGGCCGCTGTCGCCGCTGTCATCCAGATGTCGTGGGGCTGGTCCGGCTCCAGGTGAGGGACGTGCAGGGAGCGAGGGGCAATCCCGGCAGGAACGGCTGCGGGAAAACGGGGATGGAAACCCAGAGCCCGGCACGGCATCTCACCGCCGGCAGCTGGAACTGGGATCCACATAAAGGTGGGAACGGGCGGAGGAGGAATAGGGAAAAGGAAAAGGGAGGAGAGTAAGAGGGAAAAGGAGGAGGAGGAAGAGGATTAAGGAAAAAGAAAAGGGAGAAGAATAAGAGGGAAAAGGAGGAGGAAGAGGATTAAGGAAAAAGAAAAGGGAGAAGAATAAGAGGGAAAAGGAGGAGGAAGAAGAGGAGGAGGATGAGGATTAAGGAAAAAGAGAAGGAAGAAGTATAAGAGGGAAAAGGAGGAGGAAGAGGATTAAGGAAAAAGAAAAGGGGGAAGAATAAGAGGGAAAAGGAGGAGGAAGAAGAGGAGGAGGAAGAGAATTAAGGAGAAAGAAAAGGAAGACGAGTAAGAGCAGAAAAAGGTAGACAAGAGGAGGAAGAGGGAGAAGAGGAGGAGGAATAAGAGAAAAGAAAAGGAAGAAGAGTAAGAGAAAAAAGAGGAGGAAGAAGAAGGAGAGGAGGAGGAATAAGGAAAAAGAAAAGGGAGAAGAATAAGAGGGAAAAGAAGGAGGAAGAGCATTAAGGAGAAAGAAAAGGAAGAAGAAGAGAAAAAAGAGGAGGAAGAAGAAGGAGAGGAAGAGGAATAAGGAAAAAGAAAAGGGAGAAGAATAAGAGGGAAAAGGAGGAGGAAGAAGAGGAGGAAGAGGATTAAGGAGAAAGAAAAGGAAGACAAGAGCAAAAATGGAAGACAAATATGAGGAAGAGGAGGAGGAATAAGAAAAAAAGAAGAGGAAGAAGAAGGAGAGGAGGAGGAATAAGGGAAAAGGAAGAAGAAGAAGAGAAAGAAGAGGAGGAGGAATAAGGAAAAGGAAGAAGAATAAGAGGAAAAAGGAGGAGAAGGAAGAGAGGAAGAGAATTAAGGAAAATAAAGGGAAGATGAGTAAGAGCAAAAGAAAAGGAAGATGAGGAGGAAGAGGAAGAAGAGGAGGAGGAATAAGGGAAAAGCAAAGGAAGAAGAATAAGAGAAAAAAGAAGAGGAAGATGAATAAGAGGAGGAATAGGAAGAAGAGAAAGAAAAAGAATAAGAAGAGAAATAAGAGGAGGAGGAATACAAATAAGAAGATGAGAAGATGAGGAAGATAAGGAAGAAAAAGATAAGAGGAATAAGAAGAGGAGGAAGAAGAAGAAGAGGAGGAGGGAGAAGAAGCAGGGCTCAATCTGATCGTTTCTGACTGAAAGTGACTTAGAGTGATGCCACTGGAGAGCTTCAGCAACGACAGGGGAGCAGGGGAAGCGTTTCCAGCCCCAGGCACCCACCGTGGACCTCGGGCTGGCCCTGCCCATCCCTCCTGTGCAGGTAGATGTGGTACCCAGTGATGCAGCCCCTCTGCTGGGGGGCTGGGATCTCCTCCCAGGAAACCAGGACACCGCTGGCCCAGGGGGTTGCGAACATCTGGGGCCCAGCTGATGGGGCTGCAAGACACAGGGCTGCTGTTAGAGCTGAGCTTAAAATGCCTTCCAAACCCCTGGGTGACATTCCTGGGCTTTACCTTGTGCTGTGGAGTTTCCCCTGACTGAAGCTGCCTGCCCAGCTCTGTCCTGATAAAGTGCAGACACGTGGATCTGGTAGCAGAGGTTATCTCTGATGTGCTCTGGAGGGAGAAATCACAGCTGCAGAGTTGCCTGGTCAAGGATTTGCATCCCAAGGGCAGAAATCTTGCAGCAGCTGCTTAAATCTGAGATAAATCTCGTGATTATTGATAGATCTTTCATAAAGAAGGGAAAGAAATTTTCTCTGATCTACTGAGCCTGGCAGAGCCTTACTGGGATTTAAAGTGAAAATTGATGGCTTCCCACTGCCAGGGTGTTGCTATAGGACACGAGGAAGCACAACGTGAGCCACCTGCCACTTTGCAAGGTAAAAGAGGAAGTTTATTTTCTGACTCCAACTTTTATACTTTTCCAAAGGTGACAGTGGATTGGAGAGTGAATGGGCCACCTCTCCAAAGACATTGGACAAACCTACATCAAGTTTCCCCACCCCCATGAAGGAATGCAAAACAATATGTTATTTACAGAAACGGTGTGGGAAAGTTTTCCAATAGAATGTAAACTCAGAAGGCTTTAGAAAAGCTTAAGAATCAGGGCGACACCAGGGGAAAGGGATAAATGGGATATTGGGAAGGAATTGTTCCCACAGAGAAGCTGTGGCTGCCTCTGGATCCCTCAAGTGATTTTAGTGAAAAATATAGAAATAGATAGAACATATATAGGATGTATAGAAATATATAGAAATATAGAATCCCAGACTGGGAGGGACCTTAAATCCCATCCAGTGCCACCGCTGCCATGGCAGTGACACTTCCCACCATGCCAAGCTGCTCCCAGCCTCATCCAGCCTGGCCTTGGAGCCCAAATTCCCACCTGACTTGTTGCTAAGGATATTTTCCAGCCGAGCTGGTGCTGTGTCCAGCGGGGGGTGGCATTTACCTGCTATGACAGTGGACAGCTGGGATGGGGACAGCTTCACCCAGCCCTGCTGGGGCTGCAGGCCAGGCTCCCTCCAGGGCTCTGCCCACTCCACCACGTAGCCCCCAACGGGCAGGGCAGCTCCAGCTGGGGGGCTCCAGCTCACCAGGATGCTGCTGTTCCCCAGGCCCACGGCAGAGACCCGCTGGGGAGGGGGCAGATCTTGCAGGGGAGAACAAAACCTGCAGTCAGCACGAGGTTCTGGCAGCCTCCATCCAACCCCGGGGCCTGTGGGTCTCAGATTCAGTCAGAGAAAGAAACTGAGGGTTTGTAGCCAGGCAAAATCTGAGACCCACAGGGGCCTTTGGTGCCTGGGGTTTGCTGGGTCCCCCCTCCCCTCCGCTTTGGCACCGTGGGAAGGATAAAAGTGAGTTGTAATTCATGGTGGGATTGCTGGCAGGGACAGTGACATTCCTGGTTTTTCTCATGGATGGGACAGCCACAGCTTGGCCCTGGCAGGTGCTGGCACAGCACAGCCCAACACCCTGCCCCGATGGAAGCACGGGGATGTGGAGGATATTCCAGGGGATATCCCGAGGATGTGGAGCCGTGATTCCAGGGGATATCCCGAGGATGTGCAGCCCTGATTCCAGGGGATATCCCGAGGATGTGGAGGATATTCCAGGGGATATCCCGAGGATGTGGAGCCGTGATTCCAGGGGATATCCCGAGGATGTGGAGCCCTGATTCCAGGGGATATCCCAAGGATATGGAGCTGCTGCTGTGATTCCAGGGGATATCCCGAGGATGTGGAGCCGTGATTCCAGGGGATATCCCGAGGATGTGGAGCCCTGATTCCAGGGGATATCCCAAGGATATGGAGCTGCTGCCGTGATTCCAGGGGATATCCCGAGGATGTGGAGCTGTGATTCCAGGGGATATCCCAAGGGCTGGAGCCCCTCTGGCTGGGAGATCTGGGGCTGCTCACCTGCAGGAACCACAGGGACGAGCGGATCTGCAGATCCCTGGAGCTCACTGGAGGTGGAGGTACCACAGCACCCGAGGGGATGCCAGCCCCAGGAGCCTTACCTGGGCTGCCCAGGTGGGTCAGCACGGCCGTGGGCACCGAGCTGCCCCGCGGGTTCTGGGCCGTCACCGTCACCCTGTGGGCCGCCCTGGGGGTGACCCTGGAGAAGCTGGTCTGGGTGGTCCGGTGGGATTGTGCTGGCAGCTTCTCCTGCTCCAGGGCTTCCAAGGTCACGGTGTAGCCCAGGATTCTCCCTCCTGCCTCCGACCTGCTCAGAGCCTGCGGGGGAAATGCCTCTGTCACCGGCTTGGACAAGGTGCTGCCAGCTGGGAACGCTGGGGAGGGACTGGGGAATGGCTTTACATGGACACAGGGCAGGGTTACGTGGGATATTGGGAAGGAATTCCTCCCTGGCAGGGTGGGCAGCCCTGGCACAGATGCCCAGAGCTGCTGTGGCTGCCCCTGGATCCCTGGCAGTGCCCAAGGCCAGGCTGGAAATCGGGACTGGGAGCTCCTGGGACAGTGAGAGGTGACCCTGCCATGGCAGGGGTGGGATGGGATTTAAGGTCCATCCCAAACCGTTCCAGGATTTATTTTTCCCACCCAGTTCCAGTCTTGCTGTGAGATGCTGACTGCTCCAGCAGCACAGCTGGGGATGCTGAAACCCTTCCTGCCCTGAGGCTGAATTCAAACTTCTTTTTTTTTTCACTGAAAGCCACACTTTTCACAAGGGAGGGAAAAAAAGGATGATCAATGGCTCAGCTGGATTTGTCAAAATGAGCTGGTTTTGCTTGGAAGGAAAACCTTGGATTTTACTTAAATTATTTCAATTGAACCACTCAGAACACACATCTCTGACAGGAGCACCACAGACCTGGTGCCTGCAGTTGTACTCTCAGTTTCCTGATGTTTCTGTGACATGAATTCATTTGTTTGGCTGACTTTTGTCATAATGAAACAAAGCACAAAGCACAAACCAAAATGTTTGCAGTGCTTTGGCAGCAGCTCAGGGCTGAGGCAGCACTGGAAACCTGCTGAAATTAAATGTTCAACCCTTTTTCTGGGTGTTTGTCTGAGAACAGGAGCACAGCCTTGGCAGGAAGTGGGCCTGAGTGTCAGCCTGGCTTGGGACCTGCTCTGAAACTTCTAAAGGCAGTTTATTACCCTGTTTTATGAATGATGCTGCAGGAAGTCACTCCTGATAAAGAAAGTGCTGCAAGATAAAGGTCTGAAAGCTGAAGCCACAACGTCTGGGGTCACAGAATCTCATGAGAATTTCTGCTTTCACTTGCAGCACAGTGCTTGTTGGTATATGGGGGGAACACAGTGATTTTTTTTACCCAACTCTGGTGGGTTTTAAACCAAATTCTGTGTGGAACGCTCCCCGAGGGGTCCCAGCCCCCAGCTCTGCCCAGCAGACCCCAAAAATGCTGTCAGCTGGGGAATCTGGAGAGGCTTGGGATGAAGGCAGGGAGGGACAGGACACAGGGAATGGCTCCAAGTGCCAGAGGGCGGGGATGGGTGGGAGATTGGGAATTGGGAATTGTTCCCTGGGATGTGGGGCTGGGCTGGAATTCCCAGAGCAGCTATGGCTGCCCCTGGATCCCTGGCAGTGCCCAAGGCCAGCTGGATGGGGCTGGGAACAGCCTGGGACGGTGGGAGGTGTCCCTGCCACGGAACAGGATGACATTTGGGATCCCTCCCAATCCAAATAATTCTGGCATTCCATGAAGCTGCAGGTAGAAAATGCTGATGGATCTCCTCCCTTGATCTGTGTCCCTGTCCCTGGGAACTGGTGAAACCTTTGTGCTCTGCCAGGGTTCAGTCCTTCCCTGCCATCCTAAAAATTGTCATTTCCCCTCTCACCTGGCTGGGTTTTGCTGCTCTGCTGGGCTATCCTGGGTTACAAGATGTGGCTGGGGGTGAGTGTCCTACTCCCATCTGTCAGAGCTGGGGCAGTTATCTCCTGTTCTTTGGGCAGTTTTCTTTATCTCTGCCACAGCCAATCCTCCCTCCAGGAGATCTCTTCTGTTCATGGGCCATTAATTATTAATTATCTTCTGTTCATGGCAGTGAGTGTCCCTGCCTGGCTGAGAAAATTCCATCATCCCATGGGGAGATGCTCTGCCCAGGGGAGGAGCCAAACATTCCTACCTGGATACAATCTGACCTGGGAACAGCACAGCAGCCTTTGCCCCCTGCATTCCCAGAGGAGCAGCTTTCTCCCCACTGCATTCCCAGAGGAGCAGCTTTCTTCCCACTGCATTCCCAGAGGAGCAGCTTTCTCCCCACTGCATTCCCAGAGGAGCAGCTTTCTGCCCCACTGCATTCCCAGAGGAGCAGCTTTCTTCCCACTGCATTCCCAGGGGAGCCCGGGCCCATCTCCCCCAGCCCTGGAGCTCCAGAGGAAAACTCCCCCCTTGTGCAGGATCCTGCTCCAGCAGAAGCACAGCTGGCACTGCAGGAGGGCTGAGCCACCCTGGGATGGGGCTGCTGCCACCACCCTGACCCACAGGGGACAGGGCTGCTCTGACTCTGCCACTGGTTTGTTTTCTTGTTTTTGTACTTTTGCATTTGTATTTTTAATTTCCCTGGTAAAGCACTGTTATCCCTATTCCCACATCTTTGTCTGAGACTCCCTTAATTTCAAATTTATAATAATTCAGAGGGAGGGGGTTTGCATTCTCCATTTCCCTCCTCAGCAGACACCTGGCTGTTCAGACCAGGACATGATCTCACCTTCCAGAACAGGGAGAGGTTCTGGTGCCCAGAGTCCAGCTCCTGCTGCCGGTACCAGACATCCAGGGTCGCTCTTGGCACTGGTGGGAAGGAAAAGCAGAGCAGGCCAATGGCTGAGGTTTGAGGAGCTAAAAACCCCTGAAAAAATTCAAATTTAATCTTTTAAATGCCCCTGAAATGCTGCAGGGTGTGATAATAACCCAGGTTTGCTGCTGCTTGGTTGCTTTGAGGGTGGGGATTGGGAGGAGAACAAGCCACAAACCCAAGCAGAGCAGTTTGGATCTGCTGGTGGCTTTGTCCTGCCAAGGGAGCCCACACATCAAAGCACAGCATTAACTCCTGTCTTTGCATAAATTCGAGGCTTATGAAGTCCTTGGGCTTGGCTCCATCAATCCTAGAACAACAGGCAGCCTCAGATCAGGGCGTGTGGGGGATGTGTGGGACCTTCCCGTCTGATAAATGCCTTTAACAGCTTGTCTGAGGCAGCTTTAACCCCTGTTCCTTCCACAGTTCTGACTGGAAGCTCTCGGTATTTTGAAGAAACCCCCAAAATGACGTTAACAGGAAGATCTGGCTGGTGGATGAGCTCCCAAAACCCAGACTCAGAGATGAGCGGGTAAGGAAAGCTGAGATGACAGAGGATGGCAGAGCTTTGCTCCTCAAGGACCCTGAGCAGCCCAAACTCATCAATTCTAATTGTTACTAGCTGGAGCAGGGGCAGCTGCTGAACAGCCAGGGCTGTAGCACAGACACAAACCCCTCCAGGTCAGCATGTTTGTCCTGGAGTGACTGCAGAGAGTGACTGGAACAGAAACAAGAAGCAGCAGCAGCAGCAGAAATAAAACCAGAGCATTGACTGCGAGCTCAGAGCAGAAAAATCTGAATATTGGATTGCACCTGCTGCCTGAGGGCATCCAGGGCTTCCCTCTGGCTGCCCTGGGACCCTGGCAGGGGTCAGGAACCCCCCTGGACAGAGCCCCCAGAGACACTGGCTGTGATCTCTGGCCATGGAAAAGAGTTTGCAATCTTACAGGATGAATTACCAGCTCGTCTGCAGCCTCCCCTTGCTATGACCTGCTCTGAGGGCACAAAGATCAGCTACAAACCCTACGGACAGGGTGGGGGTGACAGCCACAAACTCGGGGTGACACGAAAAGGGGAGAAAACTGTTGAGAGGAAGGTGGGGGAGGCAGGGAAAAGTTCACACCTCCAGTATCAATCAATACCTCTTATAGAAACTGCTGCTGTCACGGGGCAGAGGGGAAATGGTGACTCAGAGCAGCACCGGCCCCATGGGCTGGCAGTAATTCACAAAAAAGAGCAGCCAAAGCCAAGCAGGAGAGCAGAGAATCACAGAACTACAAGGGGTCATCTCATCCCAGCCCCCAAATCCTTCACCTGTTCTCAGGGAGCTCTGGAAATTCCTGCTTTGGATCAGCTTCCCGTTTGCTCATTAAAAAAAACCAATTTTCTTACAGAAACTTCTCCCTCTTGGCTCTAGGTCTGGATGTGGAGTTTGCCCAGAGCAGCCTGTCAGAATCTGAGGTATTGATGATTCCCAGATTGTAAAAGTCTCTGTATTTCTGCCCCATTGCTAAAGAAGAAGCCATAATTGGTCTGTGCTGTTTCAAGGTTGTTTATTCTGTTTATCTCTAACATGTTCTGCTGCCCTGCCGCAGCTCTGTCCTGCAGGGCAGCGTGTGGGGCTCTGCCCTCAGTGGGATGGTACAAACATTAAATACCACAAACTACCTCTGCTGGATTTACAATAACGTGCCAATATCTGTCACCTACGTTGGACAGTGTGTCCCCAGCCTGAACCAACAGAAAAATGCCAACACCACAGTGAAACATGGAGGGCATGAAGAAGGAGAAAAAGGACAAGGCACACCCAATTTCCTCCATCTTGTCCCCTTTGAACCCCTCATCTAGAATCCTAAAATTTTACTTTTGCACCCGTGCCACACTTAATTATTACTTATATAAAACACTCAGAGCTGGTAATTCATCCTGTAAGATTGAAAACTCTTTTCCATGGGCAGAGATCACAGCCAGTGTCTCTGGGGGCTCTGTCCAGGGGGGTTCTGACCCCTGCCAGGGTCCCAGGGCAGCCAGAGGGATGCTCTGCATTCCCACACAGCCCAGCAGCAGTTTTGGCTCCTGAGCTGGAGTTGCTGTGGCTGCAGACCCTGAGCTGGTTTAGGGCAGGGCAGTTCCTCACCTGCTGCTGGGGTGCTGCCCTGGCTGCTGCTCCAGTCGCTCCAGAGCCCCCGGCCGGGCAGGATCCTGCAGCTCAGCTGGAACTCGTAGGCTGTGTCGGGCTCCAGCCCCTGGAGATGATATTTCTCCCTGCTGAAGCTCTCAACCTTCAGTGGGATGAAGAAATTGGTGTTACACTCCCAAGGAAACAAGGGCTGCAGGCAGTGAGGGGCTGAGTTACAACTTCACACACAGATTTTAAAAACAGCAGGGAAATCCTGAGCTGAGGCAGCCCCAGAAGCTCAAATAATGACACGAGGAATCACCAGGCCTGCAGGGCTTCGTCTGAAAAATCCCTCACAGCAAAATCTCTGTTTGGGTGATGTGCTCAGCTCCCAGCAAAATGTTCTTTTTGCCACTTACAGTAAAAACTTCATGGAATATGAAATGTTTGGGTTGGGAAGGACCTTAAATCTCATCTCATACCACCCCTGCCATGGCAGGGACCCCTCCCACTGTCCCAGGAGCTCCAGCCCCAGTGTCCAGCCTGGCCTTGGGCACTGCCAGGGATCCAGGGGCAGCCACAGCTGCTTTGGGAATTCCATCCCACCCTCCCAGCCAGGAATTCCTTCCCAACATCCCATCTAAATTTACCTTCTTTCAACTTCCAGCCATTCCCTGTGTCCTGTCCCTCCCTGCCTTGTCCCCAGTCCCTCTCCAGCTCTCCTGGAGCCCCTTCAGGCCCTGCCAGGGGCTCTGAGCTCTCCCCAGAGCTTTTTCCTCCCCAGCAGCTCCCTAAATCCCTGAATCCCAGAGGGATTACCGTGCTCCAGCCGTGCCTGCCGAGGGGACGGTACCTCAGCCTGTAGTGCTGTGCTGGTGCCTCATCGTGCCACCAAAGGGTGCAGCTGGTGGCAGAGGAATCATCAAATTCCACCGAGAATTCGGGAGGGTGTGGCTTCACTGGCACCAAAACAAACAGGGCTCAGAGGTTAGGTGGAAAATAGGATTATTGCTTTAGGTTGGATGATTTTTCCAAGAGGTTTAATGTTTTTTTTCCAAGGGGTCCTGAATATTTTCAGGTGTCTCCAAGGTTGGATGATTTTTCAACGGGTGGATGATTTTTCCAAGAGGTTTAATGTTTTTTTCCAAGAGGTCCTGAATATTTCCAGGTGTCCCCAAGGTGTGGGGCTGACTGAGAGGTGAGGAGAGGTGCTTTACCTATGTCTATCAGCATGAAGGTGAGTGGCTGGGAAGAGGCATTTCCCAATGGATTGGAGGCAGAAACCACCACGGTGTAATTGGAGTCAAAATCCAGCTTGCTCAGAGCCCCAGAGCCAAAATCCTGACTGGGAGTTTCCTCTGGAAAGGAAAAGGCATCGGTGCCGTTGGAGAGCCTGGAGCAGGAGGAAAGGTTTGGTTGGATATTCTGAGGAAGAAAGGAGAGCTCAGTGCTGGGGGTGTGGGGTTTGGGGAGTCACCCCAGGACATGGGGACAGGGGACAGGGGACATCCCTTTCCAAAGGGATGGATTGGCACAGCCTCTCACTGAACCCCGAGGGAGCTGCAGGGCCTGACGAGAAAGCTGCTGCAGGGGATAATTAGGCACTAATTGCCTTTACACTTACTCTATCTCGTAGGCAGTGTGGAGGTAGGTGAGCCTGCCTTTGTGCCAGCTGCAGGTGGCATGTCCCCGTGTCCCCTTCTGGATGCAGGACACGTTCCTGGGCTCGTCTGGAGGATCTGGAACAGTAATTCCTGTCAGTCCCAAGGTCCCAGCCTGGTTTGGGTTGGACCTTTCAGGTCCTTCAGTCCAGCATCTCCAGCCAGAGCAGCCTGGCCCCAGTGGCTCTTCCCCAGAGACATTTTAGGGGATGCTGGGCAGGGAGGGTGTTGTTTCTCTGGGCAGGAGGGTTTGCTGAGCCTCTCTCCCTTCAGGAATATCAGAGCTGCACAATTCTCTTGCTATAGGACACGTGAAAGTATAACATGAGCTACTTGCTATTTGCAAGGTGAAAGAGAAAGTTTATTTTCTGACTTTAATTTTTATATTTTTCTAAAGGCGACAGTGGATTGGAGAGTGAATGGGCCACCTCTCCAAAAACATTGGACAAACTGTTAGTATATTAAGTTTCTCTACTCTTATGAAGGAATGCAAAACAATATGTTGTTTATAGAAATTGTGTGGGAAAGTTTTTTAACAGAATGCAAATTCAGAAGGCTTTAGAAAATTTTAAGAATCAGGGCAACACGATTCCAGCCAGGAATATTCCCAGTGGGAAGAGACAGCAGCAGACCCGGCCAAAACCACCCCTTGGCAGTGCCTAGCCAGCTTCCCTCTCCCACAGGAGGAGTAATTAAGAACTCAGAGCAGTGATGAAAAGGGATTTTCCTTACTTCCACAGTGGATATCGATCCCACAGACGATGTTTCTCTTGTCCCCACAGATGCACTTGCAGATGAAGCTGTGCCTGCCGTGGGCAGTGAGCAGGAAGGTTTTGCTCACCCATCCTCCCTGGGCTCGGACCTGCTCGGAGCTGTTGAGGAAAATCCCTGCCCAGCAGCAGCCCCTGGGAGCCGTCAGCTGGCAGGACAGGGTGACACTGGTGCCACCAGGGATGGCACAGCAGGGGCTGGCTGTCACTGTCCCCTTGGCACAGACCTGGGCGGCTCTGCTGGCGCTCACCACCCCCTTCCTGCAGGGTCCTGCAAGGGAAGGGCAAAACAGCCTCGGGCAGGAGCCCCCACCTGCTGCAGGAGGTTTGGGGGAGAAATTCTCCTGGGACCTGTCTGGGATCAGTTCCCTGTCCCCAAAAACCCAGACAGCCCCAGGTAAAAACTACCAGAACGCTCCTCTGGGGATTGGAAAAGCGCCTGTGTCAGCAGAGCTGTGGCAGGACCTGGAGCTGCCCCAGGGCTGGAGCCAGGCTGGGAGAGCTGGGGGGGCTCCCCTGGAGAGGAGAAGGATCCAGGGAGAGCTCAGAGCCCCTGGCAGGGCCTGGAGAGGGGCTGGGGACAAGGATGGAGGGACAGGACACAGGGAATGGCTTCACTGCCAGAGGGCAGGGATGGATGGGACATTGGGAATTGGGAATTCCTGGCTGGGATGGAATTCCCAGAGCAGCTGTGGCTGCCCCTGGATCCCTGGCACTGCCCAAGGCCAGGCTGGATGAGGTTTGGAGCAGCTGGGACAGTGGGAGGTGTCCCTGCCACAGCAGGGGTGGCACTGGGTGGGCTTTGAGGTCCTTCTAACCCAAACCCAAATTCTGGGATTCTGTGACTCTCCCAGTGCCTGTCCTGGTGCCTTTTGTCACAAACCAACAGCTCTACCTTGAACTGAAAGCCAAACAAACTCCCTGCATCACTTATTAACTCCAGAAATGGAGATGGTCACTGGCACTCGGAGTAGAAGCTGGAAAAACCCCACCCTAATTAGGCTGAGTGCTTAATCGGAGAGATAATTGCTGTGTAGGAAGAAGCCTCTCTTACCTGCTGTGAGGTGCAGCACCAACCAAAGTGCTGAGGGCACGATCCATGGAAATGGCATTTTGGTGCCTGCAGAGAGAGGAATTCCTGTTACCAGCTCCTAAAAACTGGGGATAGTATGTACATGTCTTCGTTGTTTTCTATTTTTTTTTTTTCTGCTTTGCTACTTTCTACTCTGCTTTTTCAGAAAATCCCAAATTTTGCTCATTTTGCGAGACCTTTCTAACGAACATTGCCTGTTTTTGTTAAAATCCAGGGTCTGTGGCCTTCAGCCTCGCAGCAGTGCCTGAGCTCAGCCGGGACCTCTCATGTGGTGCCTTCTGTAGGTGATTCGTAAGTGCCAGGATGAGCAATTTCAGCAGCTTCTTCAGGGAAATGCTCTGCCTTCCACTAAGCCTGGGGGCTGTGGCAACAGCCAGCAAAGAGCTGCTGCTGCTGACAGCAAAGTGCCCGAAATACCCGAGAAAAGGGGCAAACCCAGCCCCAAACCCAGCCCCAAAACAGCCCCAAAAACCCAGCCCCAAAAACAGCCCCAAACCCAGCCCCAAAAACAGCCCCAAAACCAGCTCCAAAACAGCCCCCAAAAACAGCCCCAACCCAGCCCCAAAACAGCCCCAAAACCAGCCCCAAAACCAGCCCCAAAACCAGCCCCAAACCAGCCCCAAACCAGCCCCAAACCAGCCCCAAAAACAGCCCCAAAAACAGCCCCAAACCAGCCCCAAAAACAGCCCCAAACCAGCCCCAAAAACAGCCCCAAAAACAGCTCCAAAACAGCCCCAAAAACAGCCCCAAACCAGCCCAAAAACAGCTCCAAACCAGCCCCAAACCCAGCCCCAAACCAGCCCCAAAAACAGCCCCAAAACCAGCCCCAAACCCAGCCCCAAACCAGCCCCAAACCCAGCCCCAAACCAGCCCCAAACCAGCCCCCAAACAGCCCCAAACCAGCCCCAAACCAGCCCCAAACCAGCCCCAAACCAGCCCCCAAAACAGCCCCAAATCCAGCCCCAAAACAGCCCCAAACTCAGCCCCAAAAACAGCCCCAAAAACAGCCCCAAACCCAACCCCAAAACAGCCCCAAACCCAGCCCCAAAAACAGCCCCAAACCAGCCTCAAACCAGCCCAAAAAACAGCCCCCAAAACAGCCCCCAAAACAGCCCCAAAAACCCAGCCCCAAAAACAGCCCCAAACCAGCCCAAAAAACAGCCCCAAACCAGCCCCAAATCAGCCCCAAACCAACCCCAAACCAGCCCCAAATCAGCCCCAAACCAGCCTCAAACCAGCCCCAAATCAGCCCCAAACCAGCCCCAAAAACAGCTCCAAACCAGCCCCAAACCAGCCCCAAAAACAGCCCCAAATCAGCCCCAAAACAGCCCCAAACCCAAACCCAGCCCCAAACCCAGCCCCAAAACAGCCCCAAACCAGCCCAAAAAACAGCCCCACACTAGCCCCAAACCAGCCCCAAACCAGCCCCAAACCAGCCCCAAACCAGCCCCAAAAACAGCCCCAAAAACAGCCCCAAACCAGCCCCAAACCAGCCCCAAACCAGCCCCAAACCAGCCCCAAACCAGCCCCAAATCAGCCCCAAAACAGCCCCAAAAACAGCCCCAAAACCAGCCCTAAACCAGCCCCAAAAACAGCCCCAAACCAGCCCCAAAAGCAGCCCCAAAAGCAGCCCCCAAAACAGCCCCAAAAACAGCTCTGTTGGATTTATCTTTGCAAAGAATCTATCTAGGACTTTACCCATCTCAAACTATCAATAAGTTCTTGCTCTTTCTTGTTCCTTATGATAAATATAAGTGTATCCACTTAGTTCTTATTTTCTTAGCTCCCCGTGAGAAAGTTTTAACATTTCCCAGCCTTTCTCAACTTTATGTCTATTTTCTTGGGCCTTTTTACACTTTCTAAAGTCTGGTACCTTTTTGTATTCCTACAAAGCACCACAGCTCAGAGCTGCCTTTCAACCCCAATTCTCTCTAAAAAAAAACTCTGTTGTGCTTTCCAAGAACTGGCAGGAACAACCAAGTGGTCAGCAGAGGTAAGAGGAACGTCTCTGTCATTTTAGGCAGAAAAAAACGAGTATTTGTGCTCTCAGTCTCACACACCCCCACTTACTGAGTTTTTAGGGAAGCTCTGTGGCACCCCAGGTCACCCCAAATCTCGGGGCTGTCCCACCTGGGCCGGGGGCTCTGCCCAAAAAGTGCAGAATTCACTTTTTGAATGACACACTTTTTGAATGAATCAGAATTCACTTTTCAAAGGGAATGGATCTGTTCAGGATGGGCCTTGGGCACTGCTCTGCTCAGGCTGCTCCATCCCAGCCTGCCGGGAATATCTGGGATTGTGAGAATTCCTGGGCAGCAGCGTCCCAGGGAAGGCATCTCCCAGGAAATCGGCATCCCAGGGCAGCAGCATCCCGAGAAAACAGGGATCCCGGGGCAGGAAAACCAGGGGAAAAGGAAAATCCCAGGTAAGGAACATCTCAGAGCAAAGAAAATCCTGAGGCAAATGAAAATCCCAGGTAAGGAACATCCCAGGGCAAAAATAAATCCCAGGGCAAAGAAAATCCCAGGTAAGGAACATCCCAGAGCAGAAAAAATCCCAGGGCAAAGAAAATCCTGAGGCAAATGAAAATCCCAGGTAAGGAACATCCCAGGGCAGGAGCATCACAAAGCAATGAAAATCCGGGGCAGGAGAATCCCAAAGCAATTAAAATCCTGGGGCAGAAGAATCATAAATCAATTAAAATCCCGGGCAGCCTTTCTCGCCCCTCGGCACCGGGGGCTCCCCCACATCCCATCATTTTTAATGATTACCCCCCAGTTTTGTTGTGAGGCCAGCCCAGCTGCTGCTGGTTTTGCCCTGCCACCTTTTCAGGAGGGTTGTGCTGAGCCAGGCACTTCTCTGCAGCTTTGCACCAGCCGTGGTCATAATCTGGGCTGTGATCTCTGCTCTGTGTGCTCAGAAATCCCCCGAGGTCTGGGGTGTTACTGAGCTCTGTGAAACCTCCCAGCCCGAAATCCAATTTTAGCCCCTGCAGCGCCTTTATCTGCCACCCAATCTCTCCAGAATTTACTGACACCCAAACCTGGCAGGGCCGGTGGGTGCAAACACGGAGTAAAACCAGCAGCACGAGGTTACTCAGGGCAGGTTTCTATCAAATCCTGCTCCTGCTGCTCTTCCCAAAGGGTTTAAGGTGCTTTTGGCCTTTGATCCTGGGCCTTTACCAGCTGCAGCAACCCAGACCTGCAGATAAGAAGCAAATAAAGGTCGCACCACCAGTTGGTGACTAAGCTGAGCCTAAACCCAGCTCTTTGTGCTGCCAGCCTCAAACCAGAATGAATTCCACGTCCTCCTGCATGGCAATGGCATGAAGGGTTTAAAATTGCAAGGCAGATGCACATCTAATACCTCATTCGTTATGTATTACATTTATTCATTGTTTCTTTGGTCTTGTTTCAGGTTAAATCCCTGTTAAATTCAGGTTAAATCCCCGAGTTGACTTTGAAGAGGCAAAGCAGTCCCACAGGGGAGGTTCTGGCTGGTCCCTGGCGGTGGTGGGAGCTCCTTGCACCTTCAGCTCACCCCTGGTTGACACCCCCAGCTCTGATGGGCTGCAGTTCAGAGCAGGGCTGGGTGGCTCCTTCTGTTCTCCAACCCCCCCAAACTGCCTGCACCCAATTTCTTGTTTCTTTTTAACTTGTTCCCTCCCTCCCTTTGTATAAAAAGGCCTTTTTTTTGGTGAGAACTTTGCTAGTGATGAGACAGCACCGTGGTGCATCTCTGTGGGTTGTGAAAATGATGAATTCATTCCTAAGCTGATAAACAACAACTGAGGGTCTCTGGCACTGGATCCAACGGTAAAACCAAGCTGAAAACAGGGGATAGAAAATCCTGGTATTGGAAATCAGGGGGTTTGTAATATCTGAGGGAAGGAGAAAACCCTGAGAATCAAAATAAATCAGCTGGGAGTGGCTTTGTGATCGGATTCATGGGATGTCCCATCCCTGGAAGGGTTCCAGGCCAGCTTGGATGGGGCTTGGAGCAGCCTGGGATGGTGTTTGGGATCACAGAATCCCAGAATGGTTCGGGTTTGACCTTAAATCCCATCCAATCCCACCCTGCCATGGCAGGGACACCTCCCACTGTCCCAACAGCTCCAGCCCCAGTGTCCAGCCTGGCCTTGGGCACTGCCAGGGATCCAGGGGCAGCCACAGCTGCTCTGGGCACCTGTGAGATGTTTCCTTTAGCAGAAACATTCCCTTTATCAGCAGAAATATCCCCCTGTCCCCAGGGATACGTGGGAAGTGGCACTGGTGGCTCTCTGCTGTCCATCCATGGTGGGAGCTGGGAATTCTCCATCCCTGCCCCGCTGCTGGGAGAGCAGGAGCTGTGCAGCTCTGCCCACTGCTCTGCTTGCAGGGATCCCTCCCGGGGCTGGAAATCCTCCCAGCAGCTCCCTGGAGGGCAGGACAGAGGAGCATCTCCCCCCTGGAGGTTTGGCAGCTCAGGTGAAAGAGCATCACAAGTCTCAGGATGTGGACAGTGAAAAAAACCTTCCCCGCCTCACCCGTGGTGCCCTTGTACGACTTCCTTCCTGCTCAGGCAGCACTCTCTAATTTCATTTTAGGCTCCCTGCCACGCCACAATCAATATTTCTGTGTTTGTTTGCTGCTTCTGAAGAAGGATCCTCCCCTCCTTGCCGGGCCACTGCTCCTCTGGAAACACCAGCAGGTTCTGGAGGCACGGAACAAGCACGGCACACACCAGGGAGGGGTGGAGGCATTGAGGACAAACAGCAAAATTAATCAGTTTGTGCAACAGCTGATGGAGAAATGCTCACATTGCCTAGGAAAATTGAAAAAAAAAAATTGGGAATATTTTGTAAGTCCCAGAACACCTGGAAATGGTTTCAGGGCTGCTGAAGGAAGGAGATTGTTGTGTTTCACCTTCTGGGTGCACAAAGATCCAAATCCATGCTCATGTTCCTGATAAATCCCATTTTCCTGTGCCACACTGCGGGGCTGAGTGTGACAAAGCTCTGTGAGATGATAAATCCCTCATCCAAAGGAAGGATTTGGCCGGTGATCAATCCAGAGGGATTTTAAATCAGCCTGGCAGAAGGTGGAGCTTTGTTCTTACCTGAGTGGGCTTTGATTTGGAATGGGAGGAAAATGAAATACAGAAAAGATTCCCTGTTCTTGGTATCTGTGTGACTCATAAATCCTCCTTGGTGTTCATCAGGAGCAATCCCAAAATATTTTCCACTTCTCTGCCAGGATGTCTGAGGGATTTTTTTATCCATTTGAAATGCAATTAGCTCCAGGAATGAAGTGCTCCAAACATTTGGGAATGAAGAAGTACTCCAAACATTTGGGAATGAAGTGCTCCAAACAATTGGGAATGAAGAAGTGCTCCAAACTTTTGGGAATGAAGTGCTCCAAACATTTGGGAATGAAGTGCTCCAAACTTTTGGGAATGAAGAAGTGCTCCAAACTTTTGGGAATGAAGTACTCCAAACATTTGGGAAAGAAGTGCTCCAGACATTTGGGAATGAAGTGCTCCAAACATTTGGGAATGAAATGCTCCCAACTTTTGGGAATGAAATGCTCCCAACTTTTGGGAATGAAGTGCTCCAAACATTTGGGAATGAAGTGCTCCGGACATTTGGGAATGAAGAAGTGCTCCAAACTTTTGGGAATGAAGAAGTGCTGCAAACATTTGGGAATGAAGTACTCCAAACATTTGGGAATGAAGTGCTCCAAACATATGGGAATGAAGTGCTCCAAGCATTTGGGGATGAAGTGCTCCAAACCTTAAACACGAGGACGATGCTGAGCAGTAATTGAAGTTATTGCACCCTGCAGGCATCTCCTGCTTGGCATTCCAGGAATCCAATTCCAGGAATCCAATTCCAGGAATCCAAGCTTTATGGATTTTTTTTTTGCTTCTTCCAGTGTGAGGTAAGGTTAAAACTGGGATTTGCTGGCTCAAGATTCCAGGCAGCCACAAGAACCTGCAGCGGAGCAAGAGGGCAAAATTCCATTCGGGAGTTTTGCTCTGGCTCTTCCATGGCAATCCCGAGGCTGGCGCTGCCTCGGTGGCTGCTCCAGGGTTTATCCCCAATTCCAGCTGCTCTCGGGACAGCCCTGCCATGCCGTGGGGGGGTTTGCATCCACAGGCTCCGTGTTGGTGGCCCTGAGGCAGGACAGCAGCTCCTTGGGGACCAGCATCTGCTGGGGGCCATCTCCGGGCGGCTCCCAGCGCTGCTCCGGCACGGATCCCTGTCCCAAATTCCCAGGGAAGCCCAGGCTGCTGTTGAGCACCAGGTTGATCTTCTCCAGCAGGCAGAGCTGGGGTGTCCCTCCCTGCTGCTCCCACAGCTGGGGGATGGAGCTGCTGTAGTCCCTGGAGAAGATTCCCACCTCTGGCTGCGGGATGGCCGCGGGCGGCTGCGCCCGGTAGATCCCGGCAGCGACGTATCCCAAATTGTTCCCGTCGGAGAGTTGGGGTTTGTAGGCACCCAGCTGCCCTGGGGATGGGGTGCTGGGGGCCACCACGCTCCTTGGCACCTCCCTGGGGCAGGGCACCTCTGCCCTGGCCTCGGTGTCCCCAATGATCTGGGGCCACTCCTGCGCCGGCACCTCCTCGACCTCGGTGACTGCGGGGTCAGCGGGGGCCAGGAAGGGATCCTGGAGGCCTTCCCGGGAAAAATCAGCCTTGTCCTGGGAAAAGGGAACATGGATTTGGGCACCTGCAGCAGCCTGGCCCAGGGGGAAAAGGGGATGAGCTGGGGGGGCCCTCCCAGCCCGGGGCAGCCACACGGGGATAAGGAGTTTGGGATTAAACACCTCAGCACGTCCAGGCTCCCAACCCCTGGGAAATATTCCTGGGAATGATTCCTGGGAAATGATTCCTGGGAAATGATTCCTGGGAATTGATTACTGGGAATGATTCTGGGAAATGATTCCTGGGAAATGATTCCTGGGAAATGATTCCTGGGAAATGATTCCTGGAAATGATTCCTGGGAAATGATTTCTGGGAATCGATTCTGGGAAATGATTCCTGAGAAATGGTTCCTGGAAATGATTCCTGGGAATGATTCCTGGGAAATATTCCTGGAAATGATTCCTGGGAAATGATTCCTGGGAAATGATTCCTGGGAATGATTCCTGGGAATGATTCCTGGGAAATGATTCTGGGAAATGATTCTGGGAATGATTCCTGGGAAATGATTCCTGGAAATGATTCCTGGGAATGATTCCTGGGAAATGATTCCTGGAAATGATTCCTGGGAATGATTCCTGGGAATTGATTCTGGGAAATGATTCCTGGAAATGATTCCTGGGAAATATTCCTGGGAAATGATTACTGGGAATGATTCCTGGAAATGATTCCTGGGAAATGATTCCTGGGAATGATTCCTGGGACATGATTGATTCCTAGGAAATGATTCCTGGAAATGATTCCTAGGAAATGATTCCTGGAAATGATTCCTGGAAATGATTCCTGGAAATGATTCCTGGGAATGATTCCTGGGAAATATTCCTGGGAAATGATTACTGGGAAATGATTACTGGGAAATGATTCCTGGGAATGATTCCTGGAAATGATTCTGGAAACGATTCCTGGGACATGATTGATTCCTAGGAAATGATTCCTGGAAATGATTTCTGGAAATGATTCCTAGAAATTATTCCTGGGAACGATTCCTGGGAATGATTCCTGGGAATTGATTCCTGGAAATGATTCCTGGGAATGATTCCTGGAAATGATTCCTGGGAATGATTCCTGGAAATGATTCCTGGGAAATGATTCCTGGGAATTATTCCTGGGAAATGATTCCTGGGAATGATTCCTGGGAACTGATTCTGGGAATGATTCCTGGAAATGATTCCTGGAAATGATTCCTGGGAAATGATTCCTGGGAATTGATTCCTGGGAGTGATTCCTGGGAAATGATTCCTTGAAATGATTCCTGGGAATGATTCCTGGGAAATGATTCCTGGGAATGATTCCTGGGAATTGATTCTGGGAAATTATTCCTGAGAATTGATTCTGGGAAATTATTCCTGGGAATGATTCCTGGGAAATGATTCCTGGAAATGATTCCTGAGACATGATTGATTCCTGGGAATGATTCCTGGGAATGATTCCTGGAAATGATTCCTGGGAATGATTCCTGGGAATGATTCCTGGGCAGCTCCAGTCCAGAGCTGAAGCTCTCCCCATCCCTGTTCCTCACCCGCTGCCTTCTCCCAGCTCACAGGGAATGTTACCAGAGGAGGTGGCCCCAGGTCGTGCCAGGAGGGATTTAGGTTGGATTTTTAGGGAAAATTTCTTTGTGGAAAGGCTGTGCAGGCCTGGCACGGGGGTGGAGTCCCCATCCCTGCAGGGATTTAAAATCCCCGTGGATGTGGCACTTGGGGACAGGGGCAGTGGTGGCCTTGGCAGTGCTGGGATGGTCTCAGAGGGATTTTCCAACCTGAATAATTCCATAAAGCTGAGCTTTAATCCAAGGGGAAGCAAAGCCAGGGGAGAACTCTGCCCTCACCTGCAGTGACTTCACCACGGCGCTGTTCTCCACGTGGGGAATGTCTTCAAAGAGCCACTTGGGCAAGAGGGACACCAGGGTGGCCTTGGTCCTTCACCAAATGGGGAAAAACAAATCCCAAATGTTACTCCAGTGTATTACTCAGCTATTCCTCACCCAGTGTGAAATTCCCTGGCTAGGAAGGACACGTGAGGAACATCCAGCCCTGGAAACGCTGGGTTCCCCATTCTTTAATTTCACCAATTTCTTCTTTATTTGGCTTTTTTTTTTTTTTTTTTTGTTGGTCTCTGCCTTACTGCAGAGCACCAAAAGTCTTTTCATATGACAGCCTGAAAAATGTGTGACATCGCCCTCAGGCTGAGGTGAAAAGGACTCTGTAGTTGATTTTAAAATATCCCTGAAGAAATGTTATATCTTTTATATACAAAAAAAACCACAAAAAACAAACAAACCCAAAAAAAAACCCAACAAAAAAACAAACAAAAAACCCCAAACAAAAAAAAAGCCAAACAAAAAACCACCAAAAAAAAAACCAACCCAGAAAAACCCCCAAAAAAGGGTAAAAAAATTATGAATTAGAAATAAGGAAAGAAGATACGGAGCAGAAAGGAATACCTTTTCCTGACCGATTTTTTAAACATCACAACTGCAAAAAGAACGGCTAATCCGACCATGCTGAGGCTCAGTCCCAGGAAAATTCTGATGTCATCATCTGCAGGAGGACGGAGAGGGGGGAGGCCGTGGCCTCAGAGATTCAGCCACTCACCATTTCCTACCCCAGCTGCCAGAAATGCTGAGTGAATTCCTCAGCCCGGGCTGGTTTTGCTTTTGGTTTAAGAGCTGTGACCTTTAGCAGAGGATGCGAGAGCAGAGCTGTGGGAACCCAGAGCATCCTGACCCTGGCAGGGCTCAGGAACCCCCCTGGACAGAGCCCCCAGAGACACTGGCTGTGATCTCTGCCCATGGAAAAGAGTTTTCAATCTTACAGAATGATTTACAAGCTCTGAGTGTTTGATATCAGTAATTATTAAGTGTGGCACGGGTGCAAAAGTAAAATTTTAGGATTCTAGATGAGGGGTCCAAAGGGGACAAGATGGAGGAAATTGGGTGTGTCTTGTCCTTTTTCTCCTTCTTCATGCCCTCCATGTTTCACTGTGGTGTTGGCATTTTTCTGTTGGTTCAGGCTGGGGACACACTGTCCAACGTAGGTGACAGATATTGGCACGTTATTGTAAATCCAGCACAGGTAGTTTGTGGTATTTAATGTTTGTACCATCCCACTGAGGGCAGAGCCCCACACGCTGCCCTGCAGGACAGAGCTGCGGCAGGGCAGCAGAACATGTTAGAGATAAACAGAATAAACACCCTTGAAACAGCACAGACCAATTATGGCTTCTGCTTTTGACAGACAGAGACTTTCTACAATCTCAGAATCATCAATACCTCAGATTCTGACACAGAGCATCCCCAAACTGGTGGGAAATGCAGAAACAAGTCCCTGGTCCCAACTGTAGGATGGAATCAGCCTCTTGCATAGGTTAATTTGATATTTTCCCACTTTGGGCACCTCCCCCTTGGACTGGAGTTGGTATTTTAACCCCGTTAAAAAGCAAAACTCAAAACTTGCATTCTGTGGGTGCTGCTCATCCCTGAGAGCACAGGGAAAAATCTCCTTTATCGGCTCTGACCTCCCCGGAGCGTTCAGGAACTCTCAGTTCCCCCTGCCAGGAGGTGCTGGGGTTAAACCCCAATTGTGGCAGGAGAAATCCTGGCTCAGGCAGGTGAGCTGCCTCCTTACCCTGGGACATCTCGCTGGAGCTGCTGCCCAGGAGCGGCTCCTCCGCAGGGGCTGCAACAGAGAGGGAGAAACGGTGTCTGGGCTGCATTTGGGGGGCTGGGGGGACACAAAACCTGCCTTGGCTCTTTCTCTTTAGGAAAATAATAATGGTGTAAGGAGAGCAACGCAGCTCCCTGGAGCAATGAGTGACTCCAGCTCTGCCCCTCCACAGCGGCCCCAAAATTCAAGGAGATGTTGTGTAAAACTGATCTTGGGTAGGAAAAGAGAGGGTTTAATAAATGTATTTGTGTAAAAAGAGAGGGTTTAATCAATGTATCTGTGTAAAACCCATCTCAGACAGGAAAAGAGAGGGTTTAATCCATGTATTTGTGTAGAAAGAGAGGGTTTAATCAATGTATCTGCGTAAAACCCATCTCAGACAGAAAAAGAGATGGTTTGATCAATGTATTTGTGTAAAAAGAGAGGGTTTAATCAATGTATCTGCGTAAAACCCATCTCAGACAGGAAAAGAGAGGGTTTAATCAATGTATCTGTGTAAAACCAATCTCGGGTAGGAAAAGAGTGGGTTTAATCAATGTATCTGTGTAAAACCCATCTCAGACAGGAAAAGAGAGGGTTTAATCAATGAATTTGTTGATTAAACCCTCTCTTTTCCAAACCATCTCTTTTTACACAAATTCATTGATTAAACACTTCCTTTTCCTGTCTGAGATGGGTTTTACAGAAATCCATTGATTAAATCCTCTCTTTTCCTGCCTGATATAGGTTTTTCACAAATATATTTGTTAAGCCCTCCCTTTTTACACAAATATATTTATTAAACCCCCTCTTTTCCTGTGTGAGATGGGTTTTACACAGATACATTGATCAAACCCCTCTTTTCCTGCCCGATATAGGTTTTTCACAAATACATTGATTAAACCCTCTCTTTTCACACAAATACATAGATTAAACCCTCTCTTTTCCTGTCTGAGATGGGTTTTACAGAGATACATTGATTAAACCCTCTGTTTTTACACAAATACATTGATTAAACCCTCTCTATTTCTGCCCTGCTTGGGGAGGGTTTGCCCTGTTCTTACCCCAAGGAACTCCCCAGAGCTGAGGCTGTGGGGAGGAGCAGCAGGAGAATTTTGATTTTTTTCCCCCAACCAGAGAAATTTTGATTTTTTTTTCCCCCTGCCAGGAGAATTTTAATTTTTTCCCTGGGCAGGAGAATTTTGCTTTTTCTCACCTGGGCTGGAGCTGGGCGCGCTGATCCCGCCCGGGTACACGGCGAACAGGGACACGCGTGGGGCGGCTCCGGCCGCCGGCCCTGCTGGGAAAATCCCCCCAAAATTTGCCTCCAGCACCGGGGGCTCCTCGCTGCTGGTGACAGCAGCTGGGCTGGCCTTGGTGGCTCTGGTGGCGTTCCACCAGGCAAATTTGAAATTTATTTTCTTTCCCTCCCCATCCCCTCCTTCCCCCGCCATCTTCATGCACCCAAATCCCAATGTCCGCCCCAAATCTCCAAACACTTCCCCCCTCCTTCCCTAAGGGCTCCTCATGGCCACACTGCCCCCCAAAAACCAGTGGGCAGGGGCTCAAATTCAAACCAAGCTGCCTTGAGAGGGGTTTGGGCTGATTTGGGCTGATTTGGGTTGATTTGGGTTGATTTGGGTCGATAAGGTCCTGATTTGGGTTGATTTGGGTCGATAAGGTCCTGATTTGGGTTGATGGGGTCCCAGGTTGGGTCAATAGGGTCCCAATTTGGGCTGATGGGGTCCCGATTTGGACTGATAAGGTGCTGATTTGGGTCAATAGGGTCCCGATTTGGGTTGATAGGGTCCTGATTTGGGTGGATAAGGTCCTGATTTGTACTGATAAGGTCCCGATTTGGGTTGCTAGGGTCCCGATTTGGGTCAATAGGGTACCGATTTGGGTCGATAAAGTCCCGATTTGGACGGATAAGGTGCTGATTTGGGTTGATGGGGTCCCGATTTGGGTTGATGGGGTCCCAATTTGGGTCAATAGGGTCCCAATTTGGGTCAATAGAGTCCCAGTTTGGGTGGATAAGGTCCTGATTTCTACTGATAAGGTCCCGATTGGGGTCGATAAGGTGCTGATTAGGGTTGATAAGGTCCCAATTTGGGTTGATGGGGTCCCGATTTGGTTTGATAAGGTCCCGATTTGGACTGATAAGGTGCTGATTTGGGCTGATAAGGTGCTGATTTGGGTTGATAAGGTCCCGATTTGGGCTGATAAGGTGCTGATTTGGGTTGATAAGGTCCCGATTTGGGTTGATAAGGTCCCGATTTGGGTCAATAAGGTCCCGATTTGGGTCGATAAGGTCCCCATGAGCTGTGCCACGCCCAAAGGGGTTCCTGGCTGCCCTACCTTGGATGTAGGTGTGGGTTTCCCTCTCTGGCACTCTCTCCCAGCACTGCTGCTCCCGCTGGCCCCGCTGGGAGCTGGAGACCCACTCCAGGATGAAGCAGAGCGGGGGGCTGCGGCTGGGCCGGGGGGGCTGCCACCGCACCAGGAACCTGCCCTGCTGCTCAGCCTTCACCTCCACGGCCTCTGGGGCTGGGAACTCTGTGGGGAAAGAGGGCAGGGAGCTGTCACCCCAAATTCATCCTTGGGGACTGGCAAGGGTCAGCCCAGCCCGGGACAAATGTGGGTTTGAAAAGTGAAGGGTGAGCAGGGAATTATAGAACATGGTGGGTTTGTATATAAGCACACTATATATATATATATTTATGTATTGACCTGTATTTCATAGAATTATTTAGGTTGGAACAGACCTTAAAGATCAAGGCCACCACTGCCCCATGTCCCGAAGTGCCACATCCACAGGGATTTTAAATCCCTCCAAGCATGGGGACTTCTGTGCAGCTGTGCCAGGGCTGGAGAACCTTTCCAGGGAGGAATTTTCCCAAATATCCCCCCTGAGCTCCCCTGGCCCAGCCTGGGGCCGTTCCCTCTCCTCCTGTCCCTGTTCCTGGAGCAGATCCCAAACCTGGCAGGAGCTGTGCAGAGCCAGAAGGGCCCTGAGCCTCCTTTGCTCCAGGCTGAGCCCCCTCAGCTCCCTCAGGGATTCTCCAGCCCCTTCCCGGCTCCCTCAGGGATCCCCCGGCCCCTTCCCGGCTCCGTTCCCTGCCCTGGACACGCTCCCACCCCTCCCTGTCCTTCATGGAGTGGTGACCCCAGATGTGTCCCCAGCAGTGCCAGCTCGGGGGACAGGCACAGCCCAGGTGCCCGTGCCCCTCCTGGCCAGCTGTGCTCATCCCCAGCCAGATGTGGAGCTCTGTGCTTGCCAATCCCATCAGCTCTGTCACTGCTTACCAGAAACGTGCACGGTTCTGATAAGCATCAGAGCTCAGAGAGGTTTTTCCACCTTATTTCTATTCAGTTTCTTTTCAGTCATGTGTTTGTCCTCAGCTTGAATGGGACTTTCCTCTCCCATTGCTCATTCAGAGACATTTTTCAGAATTGGCAAAACATGGTTGTGGGGAAAACCACAGCCTGGGGCACAGGGACCGTAAGGTGGTCCTAAAAGCATTGAGAAAGGATTTTTTTTTTCAGTTTGAAAGGACCCAGCTCCCAGTGGGGGGTGGCAGAAGCTGCAGGAGCTGTTCTGGAGCAGAGGGGCAGCCTGGCACCCTTTGCTTTGCCAGCCAACACGGGCAGGGCAGACTTAAAAATCAGTTTGTTGTTGCAGCCTTAGGAGGTGAAGGGTTGAGATTGCAGAGCCTGAAGGGGCTCCAGGAGAGCTGGAGAGGGACTGGGGACAAGGATGGAGGGACAGGACACAGGGAATGGCTTCACTGCCACAGGGCAGGGATGGGTGGGAGATTGGGAATTGGGAATTGTTCCCTGGGATGTGGAGAGGGAATTCCCAGAGCAGCTGTGGCAGTGCCCAAGGCCAGGCTGGGTGGGTTTGGAGCTGCTGGGGCAGCGGGAGGTGACCCTGCCATGGGACAATGACATGAGCTGGGCTTTAAGGTCCCTCACAACCCAAACCACTCCAGAATTCCACGATTCTACATCCAGCTGGGGAGCACCTCCAGGGGACCTGTCTGGAGGACTCTGTGGAACAGGCAGAGCTGTGCCAGGGCTCGTCCCCTGCAATGCGGGCACAACGCGGTCCCTGTGGTGCCACCCACCTTCCTGAGGTGCCACCCACCTTCCTGAGGTGCCACCCACCTTCCTGAGGCTCATCCCAGCTCAGGGGGATCCTGGCAGGGCTGGAAACCCCTCTGGAGTTGTGGGCAGTGACGAGGAGGCCGCGGGCTCCCGGTGGCACCAGCCCCGAGCACTCGGTGCCCGCGGTGTGGCACAGCGGCCGCGCTCCCGCCGCGCTCTCGGTGCTCACGGCGTAGCTCAGGATCCTCCCGCGGGCATCCCGGGCTGCCAGCGGCTGCAGGGGCGACAGGGACCGAGATCTGAGCGGTGTCACACCGGGACACCCGGCCGGGACACACCGGGGGTGGCACCGTGAGGCACCGGGGGTGGCACCGGGGGTGGCACCGGGACACACCGGAGGGACACTGGGGCACACCAGAGGGCAGCCCGAGGGGAACACCGTGAGACACCGGGGGTGGCACCGGGGCACACCGGAGGGCAGCCCGAGAGGACACCGGGACACACCGGCGGTGGCACCGTGAGACACCGGGGGTGGCACCGGGACACACCGGAGGGACACTGGGGCACACCAGAGGGCACCCCGACGGGAACACCAGAGGGCACCCCGAGGGGACACCGGGACACACCGGAGGGCACCTCGAGGGGACACCGGGACACACCGGAGGAACACCGGGACACACAGGAGGGCACCTCGAGGGGACACCGGGGCACACCGGAGGGACACCGGGGCACACCAGAGGGTACCCCGAGAGGACACCGGGGCACACCGGAGCCGGTCTGTCCCCGGGCTGTGACACGTCTGGCATGGACGGAGGGTTCGGCGTTTTCTTCCCCCCGTCCCTCGGGGCGGGCGGCACCGGCGGCTGCTCGGGGAGGAGCGGCGGGGCCAAACGCTCCCGGAGGCTGCCCGGTACCTCCTTACCTTGATCAAGACCGTCACCTCGCGGCTGCCGTTCGGCAGCACCGGGCCCAGGCGCCGCCACACGGCGGGAGCGGCGGCGGGGGCTGCGGGAGGAGCGGGGACGCCGTGAGACACCAGGGGTGGCACCGGGACACACCGGGGGTGGCACCGGGACACACCGGGGGTGGCACCATGAGATACCGGGGGTGGCACCGGGACACACCGGGGGTGGCACCGGGACACACTGGGGGTGGCACCGTGAGACACCGGGGGTGGCACCGGGACACACCCCGAGGGGACACCGTGAGACACCGGGGGTGACACCGGGACACACCGGAAGGACACCGGGACACACCCCGAGGGGACACCGGGACACACCGGAGGGCACCCCGAGGGAACACCGTGAGACACTGGGGGTGACACCGGGACACACCCCGAGGGGACACCGGGACACACTGGAGGGCACGCCGAGGGTGACACCAGGACACACCGGGGGTGACACCGGGACACACCCCAAGGGGACACCGTGAGACACCGGGGGGACACCGTGAGACACCGGGGGTGACACCGGGACACACCGAGGGTGACACTGGGACACACCCCGAGGGGACACCGGGACACACCGGGGGTGACACCAGGACACACCGGAGGGACACTGGGACACACCGGAGGGACACCGGGACACACCGGAGGGTACACCCCGGCGCTGAGCCCACCTGCCTCGGGGGTGCGGTACAGGAACGGGGGGCTCCAGGCGCTCCAGGGGCTGTGGGCACTGCCCAGCCGGCACCGGGCCTGGAACACGAACTCGGTGTCACTCTGCAGCCGGTGCCACCAGCGGGGACCCTCCGGTGCCACCTTGTCACACGGCTCCACCTGCGAGCGAGCGGGGCGCGGGTGGGTCCCCAGCAGGTCCCCACCGCCACCGGATGGGCAGGACCCACCCTGTCCCCTCCAGTGCCACCCTGCGGGTGGTGCCACCACGCAGCCACGCTGGGGTGGTGCCACCACGGGGATTTTGGGGCTCCTGTGGCAGCAGGCTCAGCCCTGGCAGCACTCAGGGGCGTTTCCATCACACGCAGGATTTTGTGCTTTGTCCTTGCAGAGCGGAAGGTTTGGAAATATTCTGAATTCCATTTTTTTGCTCAAAAAGCCGAGCTAACCCTGCCCACGAGGCCACCTGCTGTCCCAGCTGGCATCAGCTCTGCCTGCGGCCGGGGGTGGCATCCCCAGCAGCAGCAGCGGAGCAGAGGGGTGACTTTGGAATCACCCCAATATTCCCAGCGGGAAGGGGACTGGCATCTCTTTACCGGGGGGTGGGTAAGGGGAGTTTGGGGGTCTCACATGCCAGCTCGGGGTGCCCGTGGCTCGGTGCCTCTCCTCGCAGCGCAGGTTCCTCAGCCAGCTGCGGCTCCTCCAGCGCGTGCTGGTGATGGCAGGGGACGTGTCCGTGGTGTTGGCACCGATGGGCACGGGCAGAGCGGGCACCACTGCGGGGACAGGAGGGTGTAATTGTATGGAAAGATGTAAATAATTCTTAATCTCTCGTTTTTCACATTGTTTATAGTTAAGTTCTATCACTGCGTGTCCAGCACTGTACACCAAAGGTGTGAGTTGTTTTCACTTCAGGACCAATGGAGTTGGTCCTCACAAAGCTCTGGATAAAAGAGCGGGGTATTGTGAATAAATCAGTTTTACTCTCACAGCGACAGAGGGAGGGATGGATGGATGGATGGATGGATGATGGATGCTGGATGGATGGATGGATGATGGATGGATGGATGGATGGATGATGGATGGATGGATGGATGGATGATGGATGGATGGATGGACAGATGGACAGATGGATGGACAGACGGATGGACAGATGGATAGACGGATAGACAGATGAACAGATGGACAGATGTATGGACAGACGGATGGACAGATGGACAGATGGATGGGCAGACGAATGGACAGATGGACAGATGGACAGATGGACAGACAGATGGACAGATGGATGGACAGACGGATGGACAGACGGATGGACAGACGGATGGCCAGATGGCCGTACCGATCTCCTGCAGGCTGAGGCGCCGAGGGGCCGAGCGGGCAGTGCCCAGCGCGTTGCTGGCCTGCACCCACACCGAGTAGTGGCTGTCATTGTGCAGCTCTCTCAGCAGCACAGGTGAGTCTGCAGGGAAGATCTTTTCTTCCTCATCCTCCTCATCCTCTGCCAGCACCCTGGAAGAGGAAGGCAGCTCCTCAGTGCCCATCCCAGCGCCACACCCCTGCTGGCACGGCCACCCCGGCTCCTGAGTGTCACAGCTTGTGGCCAGGGCATGGCCACCCCAAAACCTGGTGTTTGTCACCCCTAAAGCGTGTGCCAGGTGGTGCCATGGGGACCAGCCATGGCATCTGGGATGGGGTGTGGAATGCCAGGTGGTGCCATGGGGACCAGCCATGGCATCTGGGATGGGGTGTGATGTGCCAGGTGGTGCCATGGGGACTTCCATGGCATCTGGGATGGGGTGTGATGTGCCAGGTGGTGGCATGGGGACCATGGCACGGAGCACCCCAGCAGCTGGGAGCAGACAGGAGCCGGGCACTGCCAGGGCTCGGTCCTGCAGAGCGCAGCCTGCAGTGGAGCTGCGGTTCTGGGGCAGGAGGTGACAAAACGTGAGTGGTAGGAAGTGGAACTGGGGCACGGCAGCCCGGCTGCCACCACCGGGGCTGTCACCACCAGGGCTGTCACCGGGGCTGTCACCGGGGCTGTCACCACCGGGGCTGCCACTATGGCTACCACCGGGGCTGCCACCACCGGGGATGTCATCGGGGCTGTTACCGGGGGTGTCACCGGGGGCGTCACCGGGGCTGCCACCACCGGGGATGTCACCGGGGCTGTCACCGGGGCTGTCACCTGCGCAGGTGGAGGCTGCTGCGGGTGTCCAGGTGGCTGAGCCGGCCCCGCTGCCAGCCGCACTCCAGGCGCTCGGAGCCCTCGGCGATGGCGCAGCTCACGTTACCGGGGGGGTCCGGAGGGTCTGCGGGGGCGAGGCCGGGTGAGGCCGCGGCCACCCCGGCAGGAACCGGGCGGGGCTCGGGGGGTCGGGGGGCACTCACAGCCCGCCCGGAGCTCGGTGCCGCACACCAGCCGGTCCCTCCGGGAGCAGCGGGAGAAGCAGGTGACGGTGGCGAAGGGAGTCTGGAAGCGGCGCAGCCGGAGCAGCGCGGTGCCACCGGGCAGTGCCAACCGGGTGCCCTCGGCGGGGCTGTAGTTGAGGAGGATGAGGAGCTGCTCCTCGGGGCAGCCCAGCCAGGACTGGCAGCCGATGGAGATGTCGGTGCCCATCCGCACCACCGGCGCGGGCTCGATCCACACGCGCCCCTTGCACTCGATGCTGGCGGCAGCACCTGCGCCAGAGCGGGTGGGCACCGGGGCTGGCACCGGGGCTGGCACGGGGCTGTCCCGGGGCTGCTCCGCTGCCTGGGATGCCGCAGCACCGAGGGGATCACAGCCCGCCCTGCTCACCTCCAACCCCACGGGATTGAAGGTGAGCCGGGGGCAGGAGTGATGAGTGATGCCCGAGGGTGGGCACGCCCTGGCACAGGGTGCCCAGAGGAGCTGCGGCTGCCCCTGGACACTCTGGAAGTGCCCAAAGCCGGGCTGGGTAAGGCTGGGAACGCTCTGCCACTGACTGGGGCTGGGTGAGCTCGGGGGTCCCCCCAGCCCGAGCCAGGCCGGGGCAGGGCTGAGCCCCCCGCCCGCAGCAGCGCCCCGGCCCCGCTGACTCACCCCGGCCCGTTCCGCCGGTCTCACCGATTTTGGCTTTTGTTCGAAGGGTTAAATAACGGCCGGGAAATAACCTGCGCTCCCCGAGCTCTGATCCCCGAGATTAGAGCGGCGGGGGCGCTGCCCTTCCCTATCAGATGAAGCTCGGCAGCAGCAGCCCCGGCTCTGGGGCGGTATCGGCTCCATCTGCCCTTCCTGGAAAGGGCAGGGCTGGGCACAGAGCTGGGCATGGGGCAGGGCTGGGCACAGAGCTGGGCATGGGGCACAGAGCTGGGCACAGAGCTGGGCACAGGGCTGGGAACAGAGCTGGGAACAGAGCTGGGCACGGGGCTGGGCACAGGGAAGGGCACGGGGCAGGGCTGGGCACAGGGGCTGCAGCACCCAGGAATGGCCCCAGGAGCCTGGGAATGGTTTTGGGAGTCTGGGAATGGTTCTGGGAGCTTGGGAATGGTTCTGGGAGCTTGGGAATGGTTCTGGGAGTCTGGGAATGGTTTTGGGGGTCTGGGAATGGTTCTGGGATCCTGGGAATGGCCCTGGGAGCTTGGGAATGGTTCTGGGAGTGTGGGGATGGTTCTGGGAGACTGGGAATGGTTCTGGGAGTCTGGGAATGGTTCTGGGAGTGTGGGAATGGTTCTGGGAGTGTGGGAATGGTTCTGGGAGTCTGGGAATGGTTCTGGGAGCTTGGGGATGGTTTTGGGAGTCTGGGAATGGTTCTGGGAGCTTGGGAATGGTTCTGGGAGCTTGGGAGTGGTTCTGGGAGTGGTTCTGGTAGTCTGGGAATGGTTCTGGGAGCTTGGGAATGGTTCTGGGAGCTTGGGAATGGTTCTGGGAGCTTGGGAATGGTTCTGGGAGCTTGGGAATGGTTCTGGGAGCTTGGGAATGGTTCTGGGAGCTTGGGAATGGTTCTGGGAGCTTTGGAATGGTTTTGGGTGTCTGGGAATGGCCCCACTCCAGGGAGGGGAGAGGGAAGGAGAAGGAGCTGCAGGACAGGGCACCCCCCACCCTGCAATGCTCCCCTCAAACCCCACAGCTCTGTCATTGTCCTGTTCCCACCCCAAATCCAGGTCCAGGGCGCAGCCCAGCAGCAGGGTGGCACTGGCACTGGCACTGGCACTGGCACTGGCACTCACCCGGGCACAGGCAGCAGAGCAGGACGGGCAGCACCAAAGCCTGGCCAGACCCCGCCATGGGCTGGGCTGAGGCATAGCCTGAGGGATAAAAAACCACGGAGAAATGTTGGGAAGGATGGAGCAGGTCCTGCTGGGAGTGGGAAAGCAAGGCAGGGTCCTGGCAGGGGAGGAGGTGGGAAAGCCAAACTCCTCCTGGTGTAGGACAGGACAGGAGGCAATGGGGTCAGGAAATTCCAGCTAAACACAAAAAATAAAATTTTTTTAAAGGTGGCCAGAGTGGGGCTGCTGCCCTGAGGGCTTGTCCTGCAGTCTCCATCCCTGGGGATGCTCAGACACAGTTTTATGGGATAGAAACTCCCTGTTTATATCACATCTTTCCCACAGGTCCTGGCCAGGCTGAGCCAGGCTCTTCCCAGCAGTGCACCCCTTGAGACAGCCCCAAAATCCCAGGCCAGGCCTTCCCACCCATCCCCAGTTGTTACATTTTTCCCTGCTCCCTTTGCCTCTCTGCACAGCCTCTTTGGGAGGATTTCCACACCCCAGGAAAGAAATCCCAACCTCACCAGCCTTGCATGTGGGGCTGGAACAGCAACAGGGCACAGACTGGTGAGGAAATGCAGCTCCTGGGGGGAAATTGCTCTTTTCCAAGATAAGCACCCCCCTGGAAACATCTCCCGGGGGTTGGGGTGGCTCCAGCCTCCCCACGGGCCCCTCTGGGGTGACAGAGCAGACCCTGAGCCAGCCCTGCCACCCCCATTCTCCTGCTGGGGCTGAGCACACCCAGCCAAGGCCACCCTCCCTCATTTCCCTTCCCCGTTTGATACCTGCTGGCAGGAATGGCAAATTTCCCTGGAGGGAGGCCAGAGTCCTGAGGAAAAGCTCCAAAAAAGCTGATTTTCAACCCAAACCAGGCCAGCAGCAGCAGCAGCAGCAGCAGCAGCAGCAGCAGCAGTGCTGCTCGTGCGGGGTGAGGTGACCTGGTTTGCTTTTAGGGCTGAGTCAAACTTGGGGTGCCTCCCTGTTACCTGACCTACAAAAGAAGCTGTGGGTTCCCAAGTGCCCACGAGCCTTCTGCAAGGCAGAGCAAACGCAAAAAATGCATTTGGGGTCCTGTGGGAAGAGCTGAAAACTCGAAATCTGCCCAGCTCTGCCTCCTCTGGAATCCCATTTGTGGTTTTATTCCGATTTAGAGCGTTTGCAGAGCCCAGAGCCAGAGGAGAGAGGCCATTTGGGGATGTTGGGCTTTGAGCTCATCTCTGGGGAAGCCTCCTTGTGCTTTAGGGCTGAAGAAATGGGAATTCCACCAAGAAAGGAGAAGCTGCTCCATGGTGCAAACCCAAATCCTGAGGGAGCTTTCCCCTGTGGCTGTGCCAGGAGGGATAAATGCAGGAACAGAGGCTGAGGAGCAGCAACTGGGATATTTTGGGGTTAAATGCAGGGGGTGGGAGCTGGGAAAAGCAGGGAATTCTTACCTTGGCAGTGCTCAGGACATGTGGCACCTCCCCGGGAGCTCCTGCAGCAGCAGCGTGGGGCTGACCTACATTAGAGCACCCGAATTTCCCTCCCACTCTGAGTCAGTCCATGGGAAATCCCAGAGTCCCTTCGGGGAAGGGGCACCCCAAAGTTCAGCAGGATTTGGGGTCATCCTGGTGGAGCTGAGCCCATCCCCAGGGGGTTGTCAGGGGAAGGGCAATTCCTGCCGATCCCATGGGATGGAAAGTCCCTAAGGAATGGGGTTTTCCACCTAAGACACCTCTGTCACCCCCTCTGTGACACCTCTGTCATCTCCCTGTGCTCCCAAGGGTGTCCCAGGCAGCACATTCCCAGCGCTGGGAGATCCAAGGGATGCTCCAGGGATGTTCCAGGGATGCTCCAGGGATGATCCAGGGGATGTTCCAGGAGATTCTCCAGGGGATGCTCCGGGGATGTTCCAGGGATGTTCCAGGGATGTTCCAGGGATGTTCCGGGGATGTTACAGGGATGGTCCAGGGATGTTCCGGGGATGTTACAGGGATGTTCCAGGGATGCTCCGGGGATGCTCCAGGAATGTTCCAGGGGATTCTCCAGGGGATGCTCCGGGGATGATCCAGGGATGCTCCGGGGATGTTCTGGGGATGTTTCAGGGATGTTACAGGGATGTTCCAGGGATGCTCCGGGGATGATCCAGGGGATTCTCCAGGGATGCTCCGGGGATGTTCCAGGGATGTTCCAGGGATGCTCCGGGGATGCTCCGGGGATGTTCCAGGGATGCTCCGGGGATGATCCAGGGATGCTCCGGGGATGATCCAGGGATGCTCCGGGGATGATCCAGGGATGCTGCAGGGATGTTCCAGGGATGCTCCGGGGGTGCTCCGGGGATGTTTCAGGGATTCTCCAGGGGATTCTCCAGGGGATGTTCCAGGGATGCTCCAGGGATGGTCCAGGGATTCTCCAGGGATGTTCCAGGGATGTTCCAGGGATGCTCCGGGGATTCTCCAGGGGATGCTCCAGGGATGCTCCGGGGATGATCCCAGGATGCTCCGGCTCAGCAGAGCCCGGCGCTCCCTTCCTCGCTTCTCTGGAGGAGTTCAACCCCAAAACCAGCCTGAACCTCATCAGAACTGCAACCACAGGAACCCCCTGGCTGCTCCCGCTTCTGCCGCGCAGGAGGAAATGTCGGGGAGCAGAACTGACCCCCCGGGGAAAGGCAGAGCCTCCCGCTGCCAGCACGCCCTGGCTGCTCCGGGTTTTGGCTGAGCCACGGGGATTTTGTGGTGGAAGGGAGAGCAGGAGGCTGGCGGCACAGCGGGGTGAAGCCTGGCTGGGTGTGGGGTTATGAAATGTATATAATACATTATATATGTATATGTAAATAATAATATAATATAATATAATATAATATAATATAATATAATATAATATAATATAATATAATATAATATAATATAATATAATATAATATAATATAATATAATATAATATAATATAATATAATATAATATAATATAATATAATATAATATAATATAATATAATATAATATAATATAATATAATATAATATAATATATAATAGAATAGAATATAATAGAATATAATATAATGAAATGTAATGTAATGTAATGTAATGTAATGTAATATAATATATATACTATATTATATATATATAATATAATGTAATGAAATGTAATGTAATGTAATGTAATATATATGTTATATAATATATATATATAATATAATGTAATGTAATATAATATAATGACACCCGAGTATTTAATTTGACACCCGATTATTTGACACCCGGGTATTTGATTTGACACCCGATTATTTGATTTGACACCCAAGTACTTGATTTGATACCTGGGTATTTAATTGGACACCCGATTATTTGATTTGACACCCGGGTATTTGATTTGACACCCGATTATTTGATTTGACACCCTATTATTTGATTTGACACCCGAGTATTTAATTTGACACCCGGGTACTTGATTTGACACCCGGGTTTATTGACATTCTCTGCCAGGGGACACCCGAGTGTTTGATGTTAAACCCACCGTGGTGGCACCTGAGGTGGGGCTGACTGGGGACACTGTCCCCACTGGGACTCCCCTGTCCCCTCAGAGGCTTCCCTGTCCCCCCAGTGGGGTTCCTGGGGGACAGGGACATGCCAGGGCACAGGGAATCAGCGCTGCTTGCCTCAGCCCCGCTGGCAGGATTATTATTCCCAAATCCGAGCTGGGCCAGCTGCAGGAACAAGGAAGGCCATGCCAATGTCAGAGGGGGTTTGGCTGTGATTTTTGGCTGGGGTAAAAGGGCACCAGAGATATGGGAAAGTTTAAAGTGAATTTGTCCTTCCCGTGAGCCGTGCCAGGGAACAGCCCCTGCTCCTGCCCAGCAGCACGGACACAAACCAGCTGGGAAAAGGAAAATTGGGGCAGGGTTTGTGTGGGAATCCAGGGAATCCCTCTGGGACCCTGGCAGGGGTCAGGAACCCCCCTGGACAGAGCCCCCAGAGACACTGGCTGTGATCTCTGCCCATGGAAAAGAGTTTTCAATCTTACAGGATGGATTACAAGCTCTGAGTGTTTGATATCAGTAATAATTAAGTGTGGCACGGGTGCAAAAGTAAAATTTTAGGATTCTAGATTAGGGGTCCAAAGGGGACAAGATGGAGGAAATTGGGTGTGCCTTGTCCTTTTTCTCCTTCTTCATGCCCTCCATGTTTCACTGTGGTGTTGGCATTTTTTCTGTTGGTTCAGGCTGGGGACACACTGTCCAACGTAGGTGACAGATATTGGCACGTTATTGTAAATCCAGCACAGGTAGTTTGTGGTATTTAATGTTTGTACCATCCCCCTGAGGGCAGAGCCCCACACGCTGCCCTGCAGGACAGAGCTGCGGCAGGGCAGCAGAACATGGTAGAGATAAACAGAATAAACAACCTTGAAACAGCACAGATGAATTATGGCTCTTCTTTGGAAACCCTCGGGGGCTCTGGGACACGGTGGGCACCGAGCCGTGCGTGTCACCCTTGTCCCCAGCGTCTCTGTGCTCAGAGCCGCCTTGTTTTGGGATTTTTCCACTCGGCAGAGCACAGCCCGGAGGGGAAGATTTAATCTCTGAAAGGGAAGGGCTGGTGCCAAAATCCTGCCACAGTGCCAGGGACAGCGGTGCCAGCAGGGCCCTGAACCCCCGTTCTGCCATGGGGAGCCCCACATGGGGGACACGCGTTTGGTGTCCCCTTGTCCCTCAGGACCCGGTGCCACCCCATGTGTGACCTCACCTATGCCCCCCTTCCCAACCTGTCCCCCGTGAGATGGCCTCCCCTGGCAGCACCCAATGTCCCAACCCCCTGTCCCAGCCCCATCACATCCCCCCCCACCAATGCCCCATCCCAGCCCCTTTGCCACCATCCCACCCCGTCCCTGTCCCCATCCCAGCCCCTGTGCCACCATCCCACCCCATCCCTGTCTCCATCCCAGCCCCTGTGCCACCACCCCACCCCATCCCTGTCCCCATCCCAGCCCCTGTGCCACCACCCCACCCCATCCCTGTCCCCATCCCAGCCCCCTGTGCGATGTCCCCCATAACTGCCCCCTGTGTGATGTCCCTATCCCTGTCACCAGTGCCGTGTCCCCATCCCTGTCCCTGTCCTCCTGTCCGTGTCCTGTCCCTATCCCCGTCCCTGTCCCCTGTCCCTGTCCTGTCTCTGTCCTGTCCCTGTGTCCCTGTCCCTGTCCCATCCCTGTCCCCATCCCTGTCCGTCCCTGTCCCCTGTCCCTGTCCCATCCCTGTCCCATCCCTGTCCCTATCCCTGTCCCTGTCCCTATCCCTGTCCCCATCCCTGTCCCATCCCTGTTCCATCCCTATCCCTGTCCATGTCCCTGTCCCTGTCCCATCCCTGTCCCCATCCCAGCCCCCTGTGCGATGTCCCCCATAACTGCCCCCTGTCCCATCCCTGTCCCCAGTGCCGTGTCCCCATCCCTGTCCCTGTCCTCCTGTCCGTGTCCTGTCCCTATCCCCGTCCCTGTCCCCTGTACCTGTCCTGTCTCTGTCCTGTCCCTGTGTCCCTGTCCCTGTCCCATCCCTGTCCCCATCCCTATCCCTGTCCCATCCCTATCCCTGTCCCATCCCTGTCCCATCCCCATCCCTATCCCTGTCCCTCTCCCTATCCCTGTCCCTGTCCCATCCCTGTCCCATCCCTGTCCCTGTCCCATCCCTATCCCTATCCCTGTCCCATCCCTATCCCTGTCCCTGTCCCATCCCTGTCCCATCCCTCTCCCTGTCCCATCCCCATCCCTATCCCTGTCCCTGTCCCTATCCCTGTCCCATCCCTGTCCCTGTCCCATCCCTGTCCCTGTCCCATCCCAGTGTCCCTGTCCCGTTCCCGCCCCCGTAGCGCCGCGCATGCGCAGTGGTGGCGGCGCGCGCGGCCCCGCCCCACCATGGCGGCCCCGCGCAGTCGCCGGGCGGGCGGTGCCGGGGGGGGCCCTGAGGGGGGAACCGAGGGCAGAACTGAGGGGAGAGCTGAGGGAAGAACCGAGGGAAGAACCGAGTGGGGAGCCGAGGGAAGAACCGAGTGGGGAGCTGAGGGGAGAGCTGAGGGAAGAGCTGAGGAGGGAGCCAAGCGAGGAGCTGAGGGGGCGGCTGAGGGGAGAGCCGAGTGGGGAGCTGAGGGCAGAGCTGAGGGGGCGGCTGAGGGGGGAGCTAAGCGAGGATCTGAGGGCAGAGCTGAGCGGGGAGCTAAGCGGGGAGCTAAGCGAGGATCTGAGGGCAGAGCTGAGCGGGGAGCTAAGCAGAGAACTAAGCGGGGAGCTGAAGGCAGAGCTGAGGCCGGAGCTGACGGGGGAGCTGAGGGGGCAGCCCCCGGCCGAGCCCCCGCGCCCGGCGATGCGGAGCGGGGCATGGCGGCCCCGCCGCTCTGCCTGCGCCTGCTGGCCGCCGCCTTCTACGGCCTCAGCTCCTTCCTCATCGTCGTCCTCAACAAGAGCGTCCTCACCACCTACGGGTACGCCGGGGAACCCCCCCTCGGGATCGGGGTATTACCGCTGGGGATGGGGAATCCTCACTGGGATCGGGATACCCCCCTCCGGATCGGGGTATTACTGCTGGGGATCGGGAATCCACTCTGGGATCGGGATACCCCCCCTCGGGATCGGGGTATTACCGATGGGGAACGGGAATCCCTCCTGGTACCCCCCCCGAGATCGAGGTACCACTCCCGGGATCGGGGTACCCCCCCTGAGAATCGGGAATCCCGCCCTGGATCGGGACACCGCTCCCCGGAATCGGGAATCCCTCAGGGATTGGGGTACTCCCCCGGGATCGGGAATCTGGCCGGGATCGGGGTACCCCCCCCACCCCCAGGATCGGGTGTCCCCCCGTGTCCCCAGGGCCGTGGGTTGGTGTGGGACCCCCTTGGGGTGGGTGCCCCCCTGATGTGTGCTCTGCTCCCGCAGGTTCCCGTCCTCGCTGTGCGTGGGGCTGGGCCAGGTGAGTGGGACCCCGCCGTGTCCCCGCACGCCGAGTTCTGGGGGGCCGTGGGGTCACCCCCTGCTCTCTTGCAGATGGTGGCCACGGTGGCCGTGCTCTGGGCGGGGAAGGCGCTGCGGGTGGTCAAGTTCCCTGACCTGGACAGACACATCCCCCGGCGGGTGAGACCCTTCCCCGGCACCCACATCCTCTCCTCGGGCACCCAAATCCCCTCCTCGGGCACCCAGATCCCCTCCTCGGGCACTCAGATCCTCTCCTCGGGCACCCAAATCCCCTCCTCGGGCACCCAGAGCCCCTCCTCGGGCACCCAGATCCTCTCCTCGGGCACCCAGATCCTCTCCCCAGCACCCAGATCCCCTCCTTGGGTACCCGACTCCCCTTCCCAAACACCCAAATCTCCTTCCAAGCACTCGAATCCCCTTCCAAGGCACTCGAATCCCCTTCCCAAGTACTCGAATCCCCTTCCCAGGTATTCTAATCCCCTTCCCGAGCACTCGAATCCCCTCCCCGGGCTCCTTTCCCCAGCCCCGGGGTCCGTGCCCCAGCAGGGGCTCTCTGGGATGCCCATTCCCGGGATCCTGCAGCTCCGGGACATGTGTGTGTGTTTGTGTGTGTGTGTGTGAAGGTTTCCATGGCGGGTGGGAGTAATTCCATTCTGTTTTTATCCCCCGGGGCTGCTCGGGGAGCTCCCGGCTGGCTCCCACAGCCTTACCCCTCTTTTCCTCTTTTTGCAGACATTTCCTCTACCTCTCCTGTACTTCGGGAACCAGATCACAGGACTGTTCAGCACAAAGAAACTGAAGTAGGGACGGGTTTCCTGCACGGGGAGGGTTTAACGTTCCCTGGGGGTTTCCAGGCTTGCCAGGGAGCCCAGCCGGCCCGGGGCTCTGTGGGATGGGGCAGGAGCCTGGGGGCCCTGCACTTCCCTTCCTTCCTTCCCTCCCTGCCCACGCTGGGATGTGCCACGTGTGTGTTCCCAAATGCTCCCTGCGGGCAGGGAGGGATTCGGAGCTGGCCCTTAACCGTGGGGTGAGCTCTGGGGGTGTCCCTGGGGGTCCCCCAGCCTGGCAGCCTCAGATCCAAGGGGATGTGGGAGCGCTGCCATTCCCAGAGGGGAATTCCCCCCTCAGGGCACAGGCAGGCTGATCCCATATTCCTGCTTCGATCCCATATTCCTGCTGCTATCCCATATTCCTGCTGCTATCCCATATTCCTGCTGCGATCCCATATCCCTGCTGCGGTCCCATATCCCTGCTGCGATCCCATATCCCTGCTCGGGTCCCATATCCCTGCTCCACTCCCATATCCCTGCTGCGCTCCCATATCCCTGCTGCGCTCCCATATCCCTGCTGCGATCCCATATCCCTGCTGCTATCCCATATCCCTGCTGCTATCCCATATCCCTGCTCCACTCCCATATCCCTGCTGCGCTCCCATATCCCTGCTGCGCTCCCATATCCCTGCTGCGCTCCCATATCCCTGCTGCGCTCCCATATCCCTGCTGCGATCCCATATCCCTGCTGCGGTCCCATATCCCTGCTGCGCTCCCATATCCCTGCTGCGCTCCCATATCCCTGCTCCGTTTGGGATGTGGGGAAGAGGGACAGCCTCTCACGCCGCTGCCCCTTCCTCCCGCAGCCTGCCCATGTTCACGGTCCTGCGGAGGTTTTCCATCCTGTTTACGATGTTTGCCGAGGGATTCTTGCTCAAGTGAGTGCTCCGGGCCGGGATGGTCCTGGGGCTGCTCGGGGACAGTTCTGGGGATGGTCCCGGGGCTGCCTGGCCGGGTTTGGCTGGGGAAGGGAGGGGAGGAGGGGGCTGGGGCAGGAGCTGCCGCCCCGATCCCTTCCCGAGCTGGCAGACAGGGATGCTCTGCTCTGGCCCCACTTGCAGCACTCAGGGAGGTGAAGGTGCTGTGCCAGCCCCAATTCCCGCATTCCTGGAGTGCCCACAGCCCCTTGCCAGGGCTGGAGCTGCTCTGTGTGCCCAGCTGAGCATTTCCTGCCCTGCCCCAGGCAGAGCTGCAGCTCCCCATGAGCTCCCAGCTCCCCGAGGCTCAGTTCTTCATCTTCTAAAAAAATCGTGGAGATAATTGCCCAAAAATGTGTTTGCTCGCAGCTCCTGCACGGCTCGGTTGGTTTGGGGTTGGCTTGGGGTTGGCTTGGGGTTGGGTTGGGGTTTTCCCCTTTTCCTCAGGAGGAAAAGCTTCTCCCTGCTCAGAGCATTCCCAAGGAGTGAGCTGTGGCTGATGGCGTGTCCTGCTGCCTCTCTTTCCCAGGAAGAAGTTTTCCTGGAGCATTCAGATGACAGTATTTGCCATGATCTTCGGTGCATTTGTGGCTGCCAGGTGAGCTGTCCCTATTCCCGTGTCCCAGTGGGAATGGAGTTCTTGGTTTAAACACTGACTTCCCCCACCTTGGACGTGCTCTCTAGTAGAAAAGAATGTTTTCCTGACCCAAATCCCAGCCCCTCCTGCCCTGGTTAACTTTTCCTGACAGCTTGCTGGCTCCACAGAAGGTGGAAGGAGCCTTCCAGGCGTTGTCCCTGCACAGCCCAGAGCTTTAAGTCCCTGTTTTCCCCTCCCCAGTGCTGACTTGGCATTCGACCTGGAGGGATATATTTTTATCCTCATTAACGACGCCTTAACAGCTGCAAACGGTGCCTACGTGAAACAGAAGCTGGATTCCAAGGTGGGCTGAGCTTTGGCTTCCTTTGGCATTTTGGGATTGGTTCCTGTGAGGTCAGAGGGGGGAGGCTCTGCCATCCCATTCCCAAAATCTGTCCAGAGCTGGAGAGGGGCTGGGGACAAGGCATGGAGGGACGGGACACGGGGAATGGCTTTCAGAGGGCAGGGATGGATGGGAGACTGGGAAGGAGCTCCTGGCTGGGAGGGTGGGGATGGAATTCCCAGAGCAGCTGTGGCTGCTCCAGGATCCTGGCAGTGCCCAAGGCCAGGCTGGAGCAGCCTGGGACAGGGGAAGGTCCCTGCCCGTGGCACTGGATGGGCTTTGAGGTCCCTCCCAACCCAAACCATCTGGAATTCCATGAGATTTGGGAATTGTCACCCTGCAGCTCCTCTGTCTGGAAGAATCCCACCTGGATTCAGCTGCAGGCCCAGTCCCAGTGCAGGGTGAGCAGGAATTGCTGTTCCCACTCTATCCCTGGGGTGTTTCCCTTTCCAGGAGCTGGGGAAGTACGGGTTGCTCTATTACAATGCACTGTTCATGATCCTCCCCACCCTGGCCATTGCCTACGTCACTGGAGATGCACAGAAGGTAGGAGAGCATCCCAAAATCCATGGGTTTTGTGGGACACCATCGCATGGGCAGCCTGGGGGGCTGAGGGGGAGCTGGGGAGGGGTGGTTCCCCAAAACCAACCCAGCAGGAGGGAGCTGCAATTTAACTTTTACGTTAAATTCAAACCCGCAGAGTTGCTCCATTCAGGCATTTTTGTAATGCCTGGGGAATGGGGAAGTGGAGAGCAAGGAGAAAACCCAAATATTATTTAAAGAAGCTGAGTAACTTTAGAATCAATGAGTTTCTTCAAACTTTTTAAAAATGTCCTTCCCCTCTTGCTGGGGCAGTTTTGTGGAGTTGCTGTGGGGGTTCCCTTTGCTTATGGTGCCACACTGGGGCTGTGGTCCTAGAGATTATAGTATAAATATAAATATAAATATAAATATAAATATAAATATAAATATAAATATAAATATAAATATAAATATAAATATAAATATAAATATAAATATAAATATAAAATACCTATGGTTCTGTATACATGAAATTATTAATTTTATTATTACTCATATTAATACTGTTGATATTATTACAACCTCTAACAATATGTATAATAATATTATTATATATATTATTATTTATTATTTTTGTTGTTGTTGCACTCGTTGATGTGCAGCTGGCTCTCCTGAGCAAGAAATTCCTTTTTCCTGCCTGTTTTTTGGAAATCCTCTCCATGTGCAGGGAATTGAGATAAATTCTCTCCTCCAAAGGCTGGGGGTGGCCCTGGGGCGCCCTGCCAGCCCCTCTGTCCCCCAGCCTGGTGGCTTTGTCCTCGTTAGGAGCTTAAAGCGCGGGGATAATGAGCTGGGCTTAGCAGGGATGGCAGGAGGGGGTGAAGGTGGCTCAGCCCCGCCCTGCAGAGCAGCTCCCAGGGCTGGGCTTGGGATAAAAGTGCTCATTTAGGAGCAGGAGCTGGGCCTGGGCAGGAAAACGTGGCTGTGAGCAGCCTCTGTTCAGCCCAGAGTGAGAAATGGCCTTTTTGGATTTGCTTTTGCCCTGAATAAACTCCTTTCTGGGCTGCACAAAGATGTGCTGTGTGCCGGGGCTGCTGCCAGGAAACTCCGCCTTGGCAGCTCCAGGAAAACCCCCTGGGAAGGGCTGGGGGGCCTTTCCTGTGCCTGTGGATCTGGGAATTCCTGTGGTTCCTCCGAGGCGTCCCAGGTAACACATCCTGCTCTGTGCAGAATTCCTGGGGGAAAAGGGGCTGCAGGAGGAGCTCCCAGGGCCGGAGGTGGGTGTCCCTGGGGGAAGGGCATTCCCAGCTGCTGGCAGCAGCCCTGGCATTCCCTGCCCGGCTGGGAGGGCAGCGAGGGAAGCAGCTCCTGCCCTGTGCCTCAGGCTCCTCTGCTCCCTCTGGAGCAGGTGAGAATTCCACCTGGATTCTGGGTGTTTCCAAGGGTGGAAACTCCCCCACTTCCCTGGGCAGCCTTTGCCCCTCTCCAAGTGTCTGCAGGGACCTTCCAGAGTGTCCCTGGCTCGGTGATGATCCTGTCCCTGGGCACCTTGGCAGAGCCTGGGTGACACCCCTGAGCTCTCCTCAGGGATGCTCCAGTCCCTGCAGGATCTTGGTGGCCCCTCTGGATCCAGATGCTCCCCAAACCCCAAAAGCCCCTCCATGAAATCCAGGCTGCCTCAAGCCACTCTCAGCAGCATCTCCAGAGGTCACAGCTCCCTTGGGATGAGCGTTGTGCTTTGCAGGGAGTGAATTCCAAAATGATCCAATTCCGGGGAGCAGCCAGCTGGGAGCTGCCACTCCTGAGCCCCCTGACACTCATTCCCAGCTGAGTGCTGAGGCTGGAGGTGATGCCAGCAGGGATCCCCAGCCTTGGGATGTCATTCCAGGCTTGGAGTTGGGTTGGTTTTTCCTGCTGTGAGGTGACAGCCGATGCTGGGGGGGTTGTTCTTGTCTTGCTGGGAATTCTGTGCTTGCCAAGGCTCTGAAGCTGCTGTTCCTGCAGGCAGTGGAGTACCAGGGCTGGGCAGACACGTTCTTCCTCGTGCAGTTCACGCTGTCCTGTGTGATGGGGTAAGCACTGGCAGCAGGGAAGGCATATCCATGCCAGAAACTGGGAATTGTGGTGCCCTGGTGTTGTTTAAAAGCCATCAGAAATCCTCAGTCCTGCTTGGGATACCGCTCCTGAGAGCTCTGGTGGCTGGAATTACCTCCCACCCTCCTCCAGTGCAGCTTCAGCTGAAAACGTGGGAAAACAAGGATGGGAATGGATCCTGGAATCCTGGAGTGCTTTGGGCTGGGAGGCACCTGAGGCTCACCTCATTCCCTGAGGGGCAGGGACCCTTCCAAGGCCAGGGTGGTGGGATGAGGATTCCCAAGGTGTTGTCCCTGACGTTGGCTCTTTTCCATAGGTTTATTTTGATGTATTCCACGGTTCTTTGCACTCAGTACAACTCTGCTCTTACAACTACAATAGTTGGCTGCATTAAGGTGAGTGGCATTCCCTGCTCCCAAAAAAACCCCCTCAGTTATCCCCTGGGAATTGCATTAACCCCTCATGTTCCACCCCCTGCATTTCCTTTTCCATGAATTCCATTTTCCATACAATTCCCTTGTCTCAGGCTGTTTGTTCCTCCCATCTTGTTCCTTTGCAGAATATTTTAATAACCTATATTGGGATGTTTTTTGGAGGAGATTATATTTTTACATGGATGAACTTCATTGGGCTAAATATCAGGTAAGAGCAGAGGTTTCTTTATGACTTGTCAGTGAAAACTGGGGTGAAACTGAAACGATTTGACAGATACAGTGGATTTCCCCCCCACCCCAAAAAAACCCCATGGATTTGGGATTTTGTACTTGGTTGTTTTGTGGGATGTTCACAAACTTGGTTTGTTTTAAAGCCAGGAGAATCCACAGGAGTATTTTAGCAGGAAATGTGACTTTTCCCTGAGTTACCAAGCAGAGTCATGGAATTAAGGCAGCAAAGGAAGAATGTTGGGGATTGTTTCACCTGGTGTTTGTTATTATTCAGCTTTTGGAAAAATCTCCTTTCTGGGCTGTTGTGGGGGTCGCTCCTGTCCTTTTGAAGGATCCTTTGGGGGTGGAACAGATGTGGAATGAAAACACCTGGGTTTAGGAGGGAAGCTGGGAATTCTCACGGGAAGGGGATGCTGCCAGCAGATCCCTGAGGGTGGCTCTGCCTTTTCCTGGGTGCGCTGGTGCAGGAGCCGGGCTGGCCACCCACGTTTTCCTGAATCTCTTGCAGCATTGCTGGCAGCCTGGTGTACTCCTACATCACCTTCAGCGAGGAGCAGATGAGCAAGGAGTCGGATGCTGGCAGCAAGCTGGATCTGAAAGGGAAGAGCTCGGTGTGAGCAGGGAGAGGCTTTTTTTGGGAGCCGACCTCTCCTGCTGGCCTGGCGCGGGCAGGACGTGGGGAGGGAGCCCGGGAGCCTCCTCGGGGCTGTCCTGATTTGCACAGCTGAGATTGCTGCCTTCACAAATCCTTGGGAAGATCCGTCCAGCCTGCACGGGATGGGATGAGCCTAATTAAGCCTGATCGGGAGGAATTAACGGGTTTCTAATCAAGCGGGGAGATGGGCACGGGCGGGGTCGGGGCTGGCAGTTCTGCTGCCAGGGGTGTGCCAGGGTGGATCTGCTTCCTGGGACCCCTGGATCCGCTGATCCCAGCGGGGTGGGGGCTCCCTCCGGAGCACGGGAATGCCGAGGGAGCCGGAATTCCCCGGGAGCTGCTCCTGGGCTGGGCCAGGACCTCCTGCGTGAATGTTCGCTGCTCTCTGGACTTAATTTTTATCTGCTTTCCGTTTGTTTGGTCCATTGACCCACTTCTCAAGCTGGGTTTGCCCTCCTGGGTTTATCAGAGCCCTGCACCCACCTCTGCCCAGAAGGGTTTTCTTCCTGGGATCCAGCCCTGGCTTTGGGAAAGCTGCTGCCCTTCCTGGGGAGATCCAGCAGGGAGAAGCTGCTGGAGCACAGGAGAGCCCAGCTTGTCCCACCTGGCACAGCACATCCAGGCAGTCTGCAGGGGCTGCAGCTCCCACCCCTGCCAGAGGCACAAGGACTTAAATCTTCTTTTTTGGCAAGTACAGGGGGCCCCATAATTCTCGTTTTCCATGGAATGAACCCCCCTGGGTTTGTGACCCGCTAAAAGAATGGGAAGTGTAGAACACTGGGCAGTGTTCAAGTGATTTTTAAAGGTTGTCTTATCCAGCACCTCTTTCGAGGTTTCCTCGGGTTGTCTTTTGGTTTTAAAAGAATTGTTTTTAATCTTGGTTAAAAAAACTTTTAGTAAAGCAATGTATTTAGAGATTTTTGTACCCTAACAGCTTCTCTAGACACTGACAGTGGGGTTTTTAGGAGATAACTGCTTAAACTGGAAGTGCTGTTGGGCAAAGCTGCATTTGTTGGAGTTTACTGGAAGTTTTTGGATGGGAAGAGATTTTTCTGTGAGAGTGCAGCTCCAGCCTGGTGTGCTGGGGAAGGTGTGGAGCGAGTCAGCTGCTGCCTGCTCCTGGAGCAATTCCAGAGCCACAATTCCCCCTTTTTTTGTGGGATTTTTTGGTCACTGTAGTGACCAGGGGTACTACAGTGTGGGTGTCCTGGAGCAGCCCCTCAGCACATTCCCCCTCTGAGCACAGTAAAAAAGAAATCCCTGATTATTTTATCTCCCAAAATTCCAGCAAAACCTCGGCTTTGTCCAGGGTGGGGAGGGTCACAAACCCTTCCTGGGGTGCAGAGGCCCCCCAGTCCCAGCCTGGATGGGGTTGCTGGTCCCTGTACTGGTTTTGTACTGGTTCTGTCCTGGTTCTGTCCTAGTTCCCAGTATCCAGCTTGGTTCTGTCCTAGTTCCCAGTATCCAGCTCCGGGCCTTGCTGCAGCATTCCCAAATCCCAAATCCCTTTTTTTCTCCCCCGTGTGCTCCGACTCTGCCGTGCTGAGGTCACAGCCAGGAGGGTGATTCTGCCAGAGGGGTTTTTAGGATTTTCTGTTTGGTTTTGAATCTACTGGTTAGATTTGCAGTCCTGACAGGGAAGGATTTTTAAAGCTTATTTTGTCCATGCTGGGATCCTGCTGGATCCTAAACACTGGGAAAGCCAAGAATTCCTCTAACAGTATTTTCTATGCTATTAATTGAGTAAAAAAATGTTTTCTATAGAGAATCTATTTACAAAATGAGCATTTTAGTGATGAACCTCTGAATGTATGGCAGGCTGTGGATGTGAGCAATGAGAGCAGAAAGGATTTACGTGCCTCTGTATTTTTGTATTTGCTTCCAATAAACCAATGAACCAAAGCTGCTCCTGCCTCACCCCTCTCTTCCCTGTCTGGAGAGGATGGGAATGCCGGGGTGGATAAATCAGGGATTTATCCCAGTCCCAGCAGGGTGAGTGGGGGGATTTTGGGTTTCCAGCTGTGAATATTCCTTGGGAAGGGATTTGGGAAACATTATGGGCAATGAAGGAAACAGTGGAAGCTGATCCAGAAAAATGGGTTTTGTTCCCATGGGTTTCACTGCAGAGTTCCAGCCACTGCTCTCCCACCCTCTGACAGGGAATATTCCACCCCTCTGGAGCAAAGAAAGTCAGGAATTTCGGATGCAGACAGTAAGTTTAAAAATATTTTAATAAGCTTTTCCAGAATTGCAGACGGGGAAGGGGAGTAAGAGGAGGGAATTACTGACAGTGCAAAATACTGTGTGGGAAAAATGTATCAAACTCATCTGTAGGGTTTGTGTGTGGGGGGATTTTACAGCACACTGGACCCTTTGGGAAGCCCAAGGATTTCCTGCTGGACTGGGTTCCCACCTGTACAGGCTTGGAAAATGAAAGCAAAGTTAGATTTCCAGGATTTTCAATAGCTTTAGTAGTGCAATGACTTATTGAGTTACAGTGGCTGCAGTTTGAAACATGAACAAAGTATTGTATAAAACACCAGCATAAACAAAAGGTAAATTAGAATTAAATATTCTTAAAGTCTAGCTGAGCATTACATAGTGGATTATGGAATGTCAGGTCTCTCCTAAATATCACAAAAAAAAAAATAAAATAAAAGGAAAGATAAAAAACAAAGCAACGTTCCTGAAAATATACACAGTGCTGGATTTCACACATGAGCCTGAGACAATTAATTTGGAAACTTTCCTGTGGATTTTTGGAAGTATTTCCAACTTGCAACCGAAAACAAAGAACATCAAAATACAACTGCAAATAGGATTCTGCTTGTGTGGAACTGTCTTTGAGGTTCTGCTCATAACCAGAGGGGAGAGTTAACAGCAACCTCTGCCTCAGGTATTAATCACCGCACTCCTTAATTAACACAGGCCGTAATTAATGAGCCTCACCCCGAGGCTCTCCAGGAGCAGGGCTGGCAGGCAGAGCTGATCCTTCCCCAGGGTTCTGCAGCCACAGCCCATCTCATCCCGAGGCTTGGCTCATTCCTGATCACAAAGTCCAAGGAAAGTTCAGTGGAGAAGAAACCAAATCGGCCCAAGCCCTGAGCAGTGGGGTTTGGGTTGAAACATCCATTTCAAACCGTTCAGTTCAGCTGGAACCACAAAGAGAAAATCACCTGCAGAGAAAACAACCAGTGAAGGATGAACAGCACACCTGGGAGGAGGAGGAGGAGGACCCAGGCTTAGCAGTGATCAAATTAACAATTATCCCGGATTTTAACACAGCACAAGTGGAGCTGGGCTGAAGAAAACAACCAAACAAAACCAAAATGAATTGGGATTTCAAATATTCCTGATTGCTGGATGGAAATCCTACACCCACAACTTTGCAGAGGTGCTGCTGGCAGGGTGAGTGAGCATCACCCTATTCCCATTTACTCAGGAGGAATTTTTGGTTTTCACACTGGGATTCTCCCCAGCTCAATCTGAAATTCTGCTCTCCCTTCTCCGGGTGAGCGTGTCCCTGTGTACCAACAGAGAATCCCAACAGGGATTTTCGGATTTTTGAGAGCAGCAGGTGCAGCCTTGTGTGTGCTGCTCAGGAATTCCCCCAGCAGCATTTCCAGCCAGCCCAGCCCCTCTGTGCTCCCCAAAACCTGGCAGGGCACAGAAAACAAACGCTGAACCTGAAGAAGGTTCAGCAAACTCGATTATTTGACTGCTGTGAAATTTCTCTGAGTTCCAAACAAAGGGAGAAAGAAAGCAAGGAAATGTGTGCAATGCAAGCAGCATGCTTAACAAAAATTTAAACATCATTGTTTGCCATAAAACAAGGAAAAAAAAAAAACAAAAACAACACGTTTCCAAAATCAAATGCCTCCTAACCATTCTTATGTTAATTATTTACCAGTTTCTGGGAAGAAAATTAACACGTCGGTGATTAATTTTTAACTCCATTGGTTTGGTTTGGTTTGGTTTGGTTTGGGGTTTTTTGTTGGTTTTTTTTTAGAAAAGACTTCAGCAAAATAAAAGGAAGCTGACATTAGACTCAGGGTATCAACTCTCTCATAAAAGTTTACCAACTGTACAAGGTAAGAAAATTATACAAGCTTTTGTTTTAAGAAAGGACAGTTCAATCAAGACATAAGTACTGTAAAAATCTTTCAAAGGCTACAAAGAAATCTGGAAAAATACAGAATGTATTTCTTTAGCCCAGATAAAGAATATGGAAAGACATCATTGATGTCAACAATTTTACATAGACAAACCTGACCTGGTTTATTTATTTACCTTTTAAAACTTCTATATATAAAAATAGTTGTGCTCATAACTTTCAGGATTCATGAGTGTTCCTTAATGATGGGATGGCATTTTCCTCTCTCCAGCAGGAGTGGAAGTTTCTGTGCCTGCTCTGTCTTGGCTTTTCCTGTTTTATTTTAACTTCCTGCAAAGCCCCAAACGCTTTGTTCACTTGTACACTGATTAAATGCTATTTTATACATTAAATGCTGTATTAACACATTCTTTAATGTATTAGGCTGGGAATAATTTTGCAGCAACTCACTGCTTTGTTCCTTAAATATTTAAGAGCCTTTTATCCCAGAGCTGCAGCTGCCAGCTCTGAGAAATTCAATATTCTCCTGCTGCTTTTCAGCACTGAAGAAAACCAAATCATCGGATCTTTAGAGCCAACTAGAAGGTCTCAGGAAACAAACAAAAAAAAAAAATCTCAGATTTTTTATGGAACTGGACTTTGGAAGGTAACCCATCAACCCTGAAAATTGTAGACACCCAGAATTTACTCCAAGGAATAAAATCAGCTCCCAGCACTCAGTCATCCAAAGTTTCCAGCTCCTCCAGCTTCCCGTGGGAGTTGGTTTCCTGGAAGAACTCTGAAGCACCCGGGCTCTCCTTCCCATTGCTGTTAATTCTTCTTCTCTTCAGAGGTCTCTCACTCTTCTCTTCCAGCTCAGGCTCGTTCCTTGAGGCTGAATGAGCAAGTTTGGGCTCACTGGGGAGGGTTTCGGGTTCGTAGCCGTTTGTATCCAGCTCCGTGTGAGGCGTTTTCTTCCCACTGCAGGGTCCGTTGGCGTGCAGCCCCTCCAGCCTGGCCTCCTCCTTCCCTGGCACCTCCCCTGGGCCGTTGGCAGAGACACCTGCGTTGGAGAGAAACCCCGTCAGCAAAGCTCAGCAGCAGCACACAGCCTGGGCTGGCTCAGGAAAGCAGAGTCTGAGCTCAAAATCCATTAAAAATCCAGTGTTCTCCTCCTTCTCCTCACTGCGTGGTTGATGTGCACACAACTGACACAGGGAGTTCATGAAGTGCTTCAGAGGAGCAGGGAATGACCTGGAATCCCAGGATGAGGGGCTGCAGGTGAGCTCTGGGCACTCTGTGCAGCTTCCAGGTGATTTCCAGGCCCTGAGGGAGTCCCCAGCTCCTCCCTCAGCTCAGCTCTCCTCCCTTCCCTGCCTGGCTCCTCTCCCATCCCCAGCTCCCTTCCCAGCCCTCAGGAGGAGCCTGAGGAGCAGCAGGAGCTCTCCAGAGCCCAGCTCAGGACTCTCCCCAGCCCTGGAATTCCATCTCTGCATGGCACAGGGCACGCAGAACTCACACACCTCCATTAACAGGAAATTCCAGGGGGATTTAACTTCCAGAGAAGGCCCCTGCTTAAATGCAAACATGGAGGGGTTTTAAAAACCAGGTTTCACTTGAAATAGGCTGTTTGTCTCTGGGGATGCTCACCTGGAGAAAAGGGAACCTTTGGGAGAGCTCAGAGCCATTTCCAGGGCCCAGAGGAGCTCCAGGAGAGTGACTTGGGACAAAGACATGGGGAATGGCATTGAAGTGGTAAAGGGGCAGGTGGGGGGAAAGAAGAACAGGACCAGCCTGGGAGGGTGGGGAGGGCTGGGATGGGATTCCAGAGGAGCTGTGGCTGCTCCCAGGGATGGGATTCCAGAGGAGCTGTAGCTGCTCCCAGGGATGGGATTCCAGAGGAGCTGTGGCTGCTCCCAGGGATGGGATTCCAGAGGAGCTGTGGCTGCTCCCAGGGATGGGATTCCAGAGGAGCTGTGGCTGCTCCCAGGGACGGGATTCCAGAGGAGCTGTGGCTGCTCCCAGGGATGGGAGCAGCCTGGGGACGTGGGAGATGTCCCGAGGCTGTCCCGGGGCTGTCCCGGCTGTCCCGAGGCTGTCCCGGGGCTGTCCCGAGGCTGTCCCGGCTGTCCCGAGGCTGTCCCGGGGCTGTCCCGGTTGTCCCGGGGCTGTCCCGGCCCGTCTCTCACCATTGTGGGCGCTGCCCGAGGCGCACTCGTCCCTCTCGGACTGGCTGGCGCTGCTGTTGGAGGCCGTGGGCGGCGGCGATGGCGCCCGGCTGGAGGCGGCGCTCTCGCTCTCGTCCAGCAGGCGGTCCATGTAATCCCTGCGGATGGACAGACAGACACAGCCATGGGACCCCTGCGGGACGGACAGACAGACACACAGAGCCATGGGATCCCTGCGGGACAGACAGACAGACAGACAGAGCCATGGGATCCCTGCGGGACGGACAGACAGACAGATAGAGCCATGGGATCCCTGCGGGACGGACAGACAGACAGACAGACAGACAGGATCCATGTAATCCCTGCGGACAGACAGAGCCATGGAATTCTGCAGGACAGACAGACACAGGATCCATGGATCCCTGCAGGACACACAAACACAGAGCTGGGACAGGATCCATGGAGCCCTGCCGGGACACACAGACACAGGATCCATGGAGTCCTGCTGGACACACAGACACAGAGCTGGGACAGGATCCATGGATCCCTGCAGGACAGACAGACACAGGATCCATGGATCCCTGCAGGACAGACAGACACAGGATCCATGGATCCCTGCAGGACACACAGACACAGAGCTG